GAAATTCTCATTTCTTAAGATTGATGATATGAATTAACTTTTATGTTCTCTTCTGTTTAAGGTAATGTGAAGTGACCCAATAATTGGTAGTATAGACAGAATGGTTGGCAGTGACATTTACTGTGGCAAGCTGTTATTCAAGAACTTGTCATTATTCCCAGAAGCTTACTACTGGTTTAAATTTTTAGTCTTTTGTTCTCTGTACACAACTTGCCTTGACTAATATGCTATATGGGAGTTATGTCTACTTTATTTGTAAAATTGGTAAAATTACCAATAAAATTTCCAATAAAGTTTTCAGAAGTTTTGTCCAGATTTCATTGAAAATGAATGTGAGGAGTGATCAGTCATATTCCTTGCTTGGGGGCCACCTCAAACTTAACGCAATTTCACTTCAAAGTTGAAGTAAAATAATATCAAACTCTAAATTTCTATCTTTCCTCGGATCAAATATCTCACGAACGTCTCCACAAACAACTTTGTGATTCACAAAAATAAAACATCAACATCTTAAGACTTACCTTCAAGGTTTGTTGTCTCATGTGTACATATTGATCTTCAGTAACTCAAATCTCAAACTTCAAGTTTTCGCGCTTTTTTCGTGTTTTGTTCGCACTTTGATCATTAAAATATCCTCAACCGAAGAGCCAGCAAACACCATGAGTATCCACAGAGTTAAAAATGTTGGCGAACTTGTCATACTCCTTCATCCATATTCACAAAATATAACAAAAAGGTGTGGATCGTCCAGTGAAACCTCGCAGAAACACGTCGAAAACTCAACAAATGGCGCCGAACGCGACAAACTAATTCCGCTCACGCATGCGCAGACAAAATGCCTCTCTGCTGGTACCCCCTCTTCATTTTCACTTTGTCTAGGATTACTTATCTTTATCTCAGTTTAGTGACAGGATTTGTTTTGTCATTACAGGATGTGCGGGACTCCGTTGTGAGTACAAGCAGTAATGAAGATGACATCTATGAACACCTTAGTTTAAAGCGCCTTTCTCCTGTTGAGCCTTCCAAAGGACAGGAGGGTGAAACAAAGTCCAAGGTTGAAGACTCTTTTGTGTTTCCCAGTCCCCCTAAGACTCCTCAAGAGCATACATCGAGTATCTATGTACCAGCTCGCACAGGAAGTTTGAGAGGGTCTGGAGGCAAGGGGAAACTCTCCACAGTATGGTAAATACACCATTTTGACAAGTTAATTCCTGCCTGCTATGAGAGCATTTTGTTGCTTTTTGCTCACAAGATAAGCTTTGTGCTATTTGGGGAAAGTGGGTACCTAACAGCTATATGCTGATATCATAACAGCAACAAAATCACCTTATGGAAAAGTAACAGTCTGTTTGAGAACCATGAACCTAATTTAGCCACTTATTCACTGCTTGTTTCTTTATAAAACTTTCTTTATGGTATTCTTTTCCATCCAAGTTTATCTCCTTCTGCGTGGATTGTTTAATCATTTGATTCTCATGAGTGACTAAGAAAATATTTCTCCTTATAATATCAAAAAATTTCAAGCAGACAACAACAACAACAACATCTTTATTTATAATCACTATTTAACTTATAAATAACCACTACCTGCAATTGACCACTTTCAAAAATGACTGCCGGTTTAATATTCTTTTGTTTAAATTTAAATTGGCCTTTCTGGCCTCGCTTGAGATAACGTATTCTTTTGAATTTTGTACTGGAGAACGAGGCCAGAAAGACTAATTTAAATTTAAACAAAAGAATATTAATCCGGCAGCCATTTATGAAAGTGGTCTATATAGCGAAGCTAATCGAGGCAGGTATTATGAGAAACGTGTCAATTACATATTAATATAATATTATTCTAATGACAAAAAATAAATAATAATTACAAAGGTACAGATGTCAATTACAAAAGTGAATACAAAAATATAGGTATACTAATTACAAAGCCACGAGCACATAATTAAAAACAGGAAAAGCTCAAAATACTCTTTATTTGAACGAAATCTAGTTTCTTGTCATTTCGTTTATTAGTGTATCAATATCAGGATAAGAATCCTGGTTTAGGAGGATTTGAAAGATTTGGTTATTTTTTTCTTGAAACTGTATTTTGGGAGCTGTCTCAAAACATCAGCAATACAGTTCCAAATTTTTGTGTAAGTAGTGAGAATAATGAAAAACATCTGTCAGGGCGATTATTATTTGAGCCAATAGCAAATTCTCCAAACTAGCGTCACAAAAATTGTATGGCAGACAGTAAATTATAGTATTGTAAAGTGCCACGAGAAGCTTTTGATGTGCACGCTATATAAATATTATTATTGGTATTATTATTATTATTATTATTGTTATTATTATTAGTAGTAGTAGTAGTAGTAGTAGCAGTAGTAGCAGTAGTAGCAGTAGTAGCAGTAGCAGCATCAGCAGCAGCAGCTAATGAGATCTTGGGAGTGAAAGGGTTCATTTGTGAATGGTGGCAGCCTCGCAACTGACGTGCTGGCGAAAACGTGCTGTGCGTGATGACCACGAGCGGATCTGTACAACGCCTCTCTTCGTAAAGGGTATCTCCTTTCCATGCTCAAGCGTGCTATTGTGAGGCCCCTGCCGAAACAAACCCCTGCTAAGACGATACATGACAACATCAGGCCCGTGTCGCTTACCTCCCAGATGGCGAAGCTTATGGAAGGGTTGACACCTTAGCAAGAATCCTTCCGGATGTGACGTGCGAACTAGACCCGAAACAGTTTGCAGTTGCTGGCAATTCAACATGCCATGGAATTTGCTACCTTCTTCACCTCGCCCTTGAGGCGCTGGACAGTGGGAATTGCTGGTTTAGGTTCTTCTTTGCGGACTTCCGAAAGGGCTTTGATCTGATAGATCATAACATTCTGTTAATGAAGCCTAAATCCCTTAATTTACACCCCTGCTTAGTTCGATGGCTAGCCGCCTTTTTACTTGAGAGATCGCAATGTGTAAGGATATCTGATTCATCGTCTCCTTGTTTACATCTTAACGGGGCAATCCCTCAAAGGACGAAATTGAATCCACTTCTGTTCGCCATTATTGTTAATGAGCTAGTCAAAGATTGGGGCCCTAGAGCCAAATACGTGGACGACCTCACAGTGATGGAGGTTGTTCCTCGGAACTCGCCGTCAGTCATGGGCTACATTGTAAATTCCATTCAGGCATTTGCTTCAGATAATAATATGTCCCTTAACCCCAAGAAGTGTAAATCTATGGCGGTGGACTTTCTTCACTATAATAGCGTCGTCTGCCCTCCCCTGGTAACCGGCGGATCTGTAATTGAGTGTGTCAAGTCGTTTAAATTTCTCGGGGTTTATTTATCAAGCGACTTGACATGGGGGAAGCACACGGACTATATAGTTAAGAAGGCCAACCGCAGGCTATATGCCATCAGAACGTTCAAGCGCTGTGGAGTGTCCCAAGCTGACATTGGCGGGGTGTACTGCGTGCTCATTTGGCCTCTTCTGGAATATGCGACACCTACATTCGCCAATCTTCCACAATACTTGTCGCAAGCCCTAGAAGAGGTCCAGAAACGCGCACTTGCCATTGCTTTTCCGAACCTTGCATACGCAGATGCGCTAGCTGCGTCTCGGATCGCCACGCTTACAGATAGGCGCGAAGAAGCCTGTAAGAAGCTTATACGTACCCTGACACCGTCAAACCCTGTTTTCAATATTGTCAAAAGCCGCCTCGCTCAACCAAGTAACAAGTACAATCTCGGGTCTTCTTCTACCAGTTATGTGAAAAGCACAAAAACTGACCGTTTTGGAAAGTTTGTAACGAACAAGTTTGCCACTTATTTAAAGCAAAATGTATAAAAATCCATGATTTATTATTGTATTTTGTAAGCTTACTTCCGTGTATACAATTTGCTGACTATACCTGTAATTCAGATTTTCTGCAAGGGGTATAAATAATCAAACATTGATTGATTGATTGATTGTGCTTTACTCAAAATCGCAAGAACCGAGTTCATGTCCAAGCCAGGATTATCGCTATTTTCTTTTATGTTTTAAAATCCCCTATTGTTTCCTTAAAGGTTTAAGAAAGAAATCAAACCAAATGAAGAAGTGTATGTATCAACCTTACGAGAACCTGTTATTCAAGGTTACCTGAAAGATGTCAAAGCAAACAAAAGACGCTGGTGTGTATTACAGGGTAATCGCCTGCACATCTTCAAGAATCAAGAGGATCCTGCCATAATGATACTATGCCTGCCTGACTGTGACATAGGAGTTGATGATAAGAAGAAGATCAGTTATAGCTTTCGACTCACTCCATCTGATGGGCCAGGTGTGACTTTAGCCATTGAGGATGGCCAGGACCTATCTCCATGGATGAGTGCAATAATGGCAGCAGCTGTACGTCGCAGCAGTCTTGGCAGGCCCATTAGTCCTCTAGAGGGTTTATTTAGCCTAGAGGAAGCTAGGGAAAGAATGCGTTCTGCTGAAATAGATGGTGGAATAGAAGAGGAAGAAGAAGAAGCATGGGAAGATATTTATGAAAAACCTGTGGACTTCAATGTGGTAAGTGTTCTCTTTCCTCGTTACTCTCTCTGGCAGCAGTAATTAGGTAAGGTCATGGAACCTGTGGATTTCATTGTAGTAAGTTTTCTCTTTGCTCATTAGCAGTACTCTCATTGGTGGCAGTCATTAGGTGAGGTCATACAACCTGTCCTCTCTCCCACCAATGACTGCTTTGGTTGGTTGTACAATTGTGCTGTGAAATTTTCAAAAACACAGTCTTTTAAATATAGGTTCCCAGTAGATTATGGCATGTTCCTTTGCCGTAAGATGTAGTTTGCTGTCAATTGGTGACCTGTAAAAATGCTGTAAGTTTTCAAAAACCCATTGTTTGAAGCAATCCTTAGCCATTACATTATGAGCTGTTCCTTTGTCGTAAAATGTCGTGATATCTAACTGTGATTGACTTTTTCTTTGTCACAGTTGATGTTTTGAAACATTTTCACAATGTTTTTATTATTTTCTCAACAGAGTGGGACACCTTTTGACCACAGTACCCCAGAAACAGCAGAATTCAAAGAAGAGGAAGATGAAGGCTACGATGCACCCCTCCCTCCAATCCCTACTGGGTATGATTCTTCATCAGAAAGCAGCTCAGACGAGGACGAAAGTGTGGAAAGTAAAGGATCTTCCAAAAAAGCTGAAGAAAAGAAGAAAATTTATGATGCAATTCCTCCTGATTTGTTGGCAGAGCTTTCAGCTGGACAGCGTAAACGCAGTGAGACAAACAAAAGCCAGGATTCTATGTGTGAAGATGGGTCGACAAATGACCATTCAATGGATTTCACAGATAGTCATAGTGAACATAGTGGAAATATTAGTAACAGACACAGCTACATCGAGCCTACAGCATGTGATGATGCTGTGAGCTCTGAACCCAAAGAGGAGAAAACAGAAAGTTATTCGCGGAAACGAACTTCTACTGTGCTCAGTGCAAGCATGGAGTCAATAGGCTCTGATACAGAAGAAACTAGAACTGTCTCAGTTATGTCACAGACAACTGAAACCAGCAAAGGTTTAGGTCCTAAGGTAAAAAGGAGAAGAAAGCTCGTTCCAGCTGAAGCTGAGCAGAAGTTTCTCAGAGATCCTGATGCAATGCATAGTGGAATTCTTCATCAGAAGCGCAGGTTGGGGGTCTGGTCAAAACGCTACTGCAAGATTATTGACGGGAGATTCAAGTGTTATCGGTGAGTTACACATCGCACAGAAAGTTCTCTCTTTCTGTTGAGCTGATATCTTAGTAAGCTGTACCAGAATTGTACAGAGATCATGTGGTTTAAGGTTTTAATGTGACAGGTATATCACATTGTGTACTTCATGTTTACAGTCTGCTGCAGGAGTCAATTCATTTCAGCATTCCCCAGTGTTTAACCACTCTCAAACCAGCATTCAATAAGATAGTGATTATGGCCGATGAACCTTGGTTGATTATTAAACAAATTCTCCTCGTCAGCACCTTAGGAATTGTATAGAGAACAGTATGGAGAATATGTATACTAATTATGTACAGGGCTAAACAGTCCAAATTTGGGATGAGACTGTTTTGCCATCGCAGAATATTGCAATCTTAAAAGCATTCTTTCAATCCTTTAAGTATATACTAAAGCAGCGCATCGCGTTGAAGCCGCCCTCTGACTGGCTATTCAAACTCCCAACATCCTTTGCTATTCACCTCCAACAATTTGCACAGGATTTGTGCCCGAATATATTCTAATCGTCACAGCAATATAGAAGTTGAAATCATCTTTTGTGTTATATCATCTCACTGTTTAAGTACAAATGATGTACTAAAACAAGTATTCACCTCAGAGTCAGCGACTAGCGGTGGATATTTACCTTGTCACTTTGTGGCTAGGTAAATATCTGACACAAGCCTGCGACTTGAGGCGGATAGATGTTTAGTACTGGGAAAAACTCGTTTTCCAGTGATATGGAGAAGCTTGGTGTGAAGTTGATACTGATTTTGTTTGTGCGATTTCTTAGCAATCCAGAGGACCAGAAACCAAGCTTGAACTTTCCCATCCTTGGTTATGACATAAGTCTGATTGACAACAAGGAAACAAAGAAAAGTTACTGCATCAAAATCTCTCATCCAAGCCAGGATACCTATTTCTTTGCCACAGATTCACGAGTGTCAATTGAACGATGGATCGAGGTGCTATCTTTGGCGGCCACTGCAAGGCCAGATGTGATTGCGCCATATCCACCTTACTTTTGTGCTTATCAATCTGGAGATGAATTACAAAGTATGTCAAGGGAGTCCTTACTAAGTAGTGAGGTGAGGCAGTTCATTGGATGAAGTCACAGTATAGTACTTTCTTGTCGTTCGCTCTAATCTGTGAGTCTTTGCGGCAAATCAATGTCACGAGTGAATTAGCCCACGTGCAAGAGCTTACCCTATATTTCCACGCCATGAAGAGACCACAAGTACGGCTTAGTCCTGCTCCTTGAGAATGGATTATAGGTCCATGATAGGTCACCACCCACCCCAAATTATTTATTCAGGTTTCTCAGACAGTTTTCCCGTTCATGTCTCTACTCCTGAGTGGAGAACAGCTTTGTGAGAGCAAAGTGTCTTGCCCAAGAAAACAACACCGGGACCCGAGCCAGGTTTTTGTTTTCGTCTGGAGGCCTGCTAATTAAATACAAGGATACTATGTCAAGGCATATTGCAGAGGACTGTGCCCGAAGTCTTAATTATTAAGCCGCAGTTAGTAGGTCAGTGGTCATATGCGAAACTAAGGGAACGGTGTTTGCCAGAGTGGACCAACCTGCGGTAATAAGTTTTTAAAACAACGGAGTAAAAAAGATATGGAGCAAAAAATCGGTCTCTTTTAAACAAAATTCTCAAGAGGAAGTTGTGATGCGCATTAGCCAGCCGACTGCAGCAATATTTTTTTTTTAAACAAAGATGGTGTAACGACTTAAAGTCACTGAGTTTGTCTTGCAATCTGATGATTTTCATCTCTATCATGTGAAATCAGGGGAGGCTCTCTGATGATGATGGTGCAGATACTCTGGACGAGTTAGATCCTTCTTCTGAAAAAGGCAGCAGTCTCGGAAGAATCAAAGCAAAGAACAAATTTCCCGATGAAGAGAGTGGAACAACACCGCCAAATGATGGAAGGTTTGTTCACTTAAGTTATTTTTGCTGTACACTGTGTGTGTTACAGCCAGACGACACGTCTTTGTGCTTTAGCCTTTTAAAAAGATGGTTGGCGCTGATCCAGTTTGGTTATCTCCCACAAACGCGATTGTTGTGCGAGGCAAGTAGCATGCAAAGTCCAAAATGATTGAATTTTGTCCTTAAAACAGTTACTACGATTTTCATTTAGTATGAGCTAAGGTGACTGGCTGATAGAATTAGAAGGAAATAATATTTTTTGAAGTTAATAAACAAACGTACTTAACTTTCAGGAACGTGGAAACAGTCCAAAATCAGCCTGAGAGCCAGGAAAGCGAAGTCAAAGAGTCTGTGGAGCCCGAGGTGAAAGAGAGAGCGCAGAAGAAGAGGAAAGAGAAGCCAAAAGAAGGAACAAGTAAGAGATAAATTGTTGTACTTTTCACTGAAGCAGCACACCATTTGTATCATGTGAAGACAAGATAGGGGTACATACAGGGTGGCATGGCTATGAAAAGTAGGAGGAGAATTGTCTGCAAATGCTCTTTCATACCTGTGCTTTAGATCAATGTTTCGTCGTTTGTTCTTAACTGGTCATTTTGCCGTTAATCGTGGTTTAACAACTATCTATCATGTGGTACTTGGTACAATTTCCTTTTAGTGAGGTAAATCCCATACTCTAAATGTTTTAAAATCTGTAGTTAATTTATTAACTTAAATCACACAACGATTGTCGTTATTGCTGTGAGGATTTTATTTGGTTGACGTGCGTTATCTGCTGTTTCGCTGTGAACAGAGTGAATGTAAATTAGCGAGCACTGCTAACGGTAATGTCATGGCTTTACTAATGCGGTAACTGTCATTTCAGAGACCCCTTCCACCATGAGCCCACCTCACAGCTTGTTTATCAGTGAGTCTAGTGATGGCCAGGCTAAAGCCGAACCAATGAATGAGGAATACGTTTCTCTTGCGAAAGAGAGTGCTAAGGTGAGATATAGGTCTGCTGGTAAATTGATTGCCGCCGTACGATGAACTGCACGATTGGGTATTAGCCTCCATGAGTTTGAAACGAGTGGAAATTTCACGGTCTGCAGGGGTGCAAGGGAAACTGACCGATTGTAAGGACGGTTTTGCCCAACTGGTTCGACCATCTAGAAGAAAGTTTATCTTAGAAATAAGTTGAGTCCAAACAAAAAGTTTTGCCCACTTGTGGAAACTAGTTGTCATCCAGCTGAAAACGATAATGAAACCTCTGGGTCTGAAAGGGGAACAGGGATGGCACAGTGGTGAGAGCACTCGCCTCCCACCACTGTGGCCTGGGTTCGATTCCCGGACCTTACGTCACATGTGGGTTGAGTTTGTTGTTGGTTCTCGTCCTTGCTCCCAGGGTTTTTCTTCGGGTCCTCCGGTTTTCCTCCCTCCGCAAAACCAACATTTCCAAATTCCAATTCGATCTAGAAACAGTGGACAAGAAGAGCCATCCAGTGGAATGTCCATTGCTAAATTATTATTTATTTATTATTATTTATTTTGATGCATGTGTTCGAGGTTTCCGCGTCGTTACTGTTATTTACTCAGGGCCGAAAGCAATCTAAGATTGCGTTGGTTTGCTCTTATTTGCGATTGGTATACTTTGGCGCTTTTGGCATTCATTTGAAATGATCTGAGCTAACCAAGCTGGGCATAGGTAATTTAGGTATCATGAACTGAGTTGATAGTGTAATTTGGCCTCCGTAATTCTTAGTCACGTGCTCCAGTTAATCGAGATGCTAAGATGAGAAAATTATTTATCTCTCCATGATAGGATGGCAGCGAAGATTCTTCCTCCAAAAAAGACAGACGGTGGACAGGCACTCTGAAAAAGAAATCATTATCACGAGGCAACTCGCACGATCACAGATTACGTGGAAATGTTTCGACGTCTACTCACACAGAGAACGTTAAAAACAAAAACCTAAGCATGAGACGGAAGAATTCACAAACATTCGCCCATTTAATGGCTTTATTCGACAAAGAGGGTCGCTTCTGTGGATATCTTACTGAAGTTAGGCAGAATAAGTTTGGGACGACACATTTACGGAGATGGTGTGTTGTCAAAAACGGAGAGTTGATTATTTTTAACAGCGAAAACGAAGATACACCCCAAGGAAAACTCTCCTTAGTGGACATGTGGTTGACTAATAGGAGTGACGAGAGGAGAAAAAAGTTCAGTTTTATTCTAGAGGACAAAGATGGTAATGAAACAACCTTGCAGACAACTGACAAAGACGATTTTCAAAAGTGGATGGGAGTGCTAGGGTTGTTTACCGAGCTTCGTGTAGAAAGACCGCAACCAGAAGTTGCCGAGCCCCCCAAGAAAACAGACGGCATGGCCGGTGAGGAAGGAGAGGGGTTCTTTGAACGGGGAACATTGAGAACAAAGAGTGCTCGTGCTGCCACTAAACTGAAGGATGAAATTTACTCTTTGGCCCCGGGAAAGGTCAGGTCGTCACTGAGGATGAAATTGTCACAAAAAGTAAATGTGAGAGATATTTTTCGGAAGACGCACAGCTCATACGACTTAGAAGGCATGTCAAATGAGGGATCTTCCCTCCCGGAACCAGATATAGATACTTTGGCAGTGTTTGGTGGACTTTTGACACAAGTAGAGCCAGACGGCTCCACAAATTCACGATGGTGCACAATCAAAGAGAAGGAACTCCTAATTTTTACGGACCGTAAGGCTCCTGACTCTCTTTGCCAAATACCACTTTGGATGGCGACATTCAGTGATTTGAGCGACACCGAAAATAGTCCCAACAGATTTCAAGTTCGTTATGGTAGAGAAAAAGTTGTTTTCGACACGTGTGATAAGTTTGATCATAACAGATGGCTCAAAATGCTGGCCTCTGCCACCGAGCGTCGGAACTCGAGTGACGAAGACAAACCGAAGTGCGTCGGTCTATTAACTTCGCCGACATTCGCAAAGAAGAAACTTTTGCATCGGCGAACTCGTAGTGAGGCGTTGTCTCAAGGAGACGAAATATCTCCAGCGACGCCGTTGAAAGAAGGATCTGTTAGTTCCACGAGTTCCACCGATAGACTAATGAGTGGATATCTTCAGGAAATACGTGACACTAAAGGTGCTCGAACCCGCATTCGCCGGTGGTGCATAGCGACCAGCGAGAAATTTCTCGTGTACGATAACCAGAACTCATCCAAAGCTTCTTTTGAGTGGGAACTGTCTGAAATGACGGTTCAAGATCGTAGCGACATGGATACGGGTGTGTTCGAATTTAGCGTCTCCCTTGGCGAGAAAAGGCTTAGTTTCAAAGTTATTGATGAGGATTCTGCGAGGCATTGGCTAAGTGTCTTAGCACGCTATTGTCAACCTATAGCGACCAATCAACCGCTATTTAAGACTCCATCAAAAGTGAAACGCAAAGAGGAACGTAGGCGATCTGCGAGTTGGAACGATCTGAAATCGAAACAAGCCGAGAAGGAAAAGAATGATCTCGAAGTGTTAAGCGAAGGAAGGGCGAGTGGGCGAAAGCTCACACGAAGAGCAACCGAAGATTATTCGTTCCTACGTATGTTTAACCGCTCAGAGTCGTTTAGAGCTCCGTGGCGCACGTCCCAAGAAAAACTGGAGGTAAAAATGAGGGAACGATCAGGGAGAACTGCCACTAACAGAGCCTGGAAAAGATTCTCGTGCGGTACTCTGTTCGACAGTGATGGTAAATACAGTGGCCATTTAATGGAGATTATCATGAATAAGTTATATAGAAGTCAAGTGCGTCGGTGGTGTGTGCAGAAAGACAACCATTTATATGTGTACGAAAACGAAGCTGCGTTGGATCCCGTCAAAGTGGTTCCTCTGTTTAAAGCCAAGGTTGTGGATACCAGTGACATTGAAGCCTGTGTTTACAAGTTTAGAATTGATTATGGCGAAGCAAACTGTGTGTTTTTTCAAGCGCTGACCCGCACAGATCTCGAGAAGTGGACAACAGTTATCTCAGTCAAAATCGCCGTTCTTCAGGACCGGAGCGAACGTCAGCTCCGACGGAACAATACTTTGAGTTCAGGAAGGACCATGGATACAGCGGGTTAGTTAACAAACAACTTGGTTTCTGTTGAACTAGCCTTTCTTTCTTTCCCTGTCATTGCTAACCTTTGAAATGTTTTGTGGTAAACGCTATCATCTCTTCTCACTAAGCCTACCTTCCATCCTCCATCTGTCCCGTTCATCCCATCCATTTATTCCATTTTACTCCATTTAGGAACTAGTCATTATTTATCGGGGGGGTGTGGTTCGAAGGACTTTTGGAGGAGGGGTCACATAGTTTCAGAGGGTGGATCAGTTGTTTCTAACTGAGTTCAAAGAGGGGAACAAAGAAAATTTACTGCCAATGGGGAGGGGGGGGCATTCGAATACTACAGAGCCTTATGGGGAGTAAGATAAATTCTATTGTGGCACAACCAAAATCCTCCGACCCCCCCCCCCTCAGGCGATAAATAATTACTGAGCTGATCAGTCACATGTTACGTGTTATCTTTCCCTTTACTCCCTTCCCCATTTTTTCTTTCGTTATTCCAATGTTATTGTTATCTTCCAGGTTCCAGCGAATGTGAGTTTCCGTCGCCACTACCCAGACCCTCCTCCATGTCCCTGACAGGAGACTCCTTGTCTCTCAATGAAACTTTGTCGATCTGCTCAGCTGATAGTGTCTTTGCCTCAGCGAATGACGCCGTGACCAGTGCAGATGGGGAAACAGTCACGTCCTTTTCATCAGGATTAAAACCAATTGGTACGGACGACGAGACTGCAGCGAGTTCGATGACAGATGAGCAGTCACCCAGTGATCAAGGCGTAACCGACGCTGGTTTGCCACCTGCTGAAGGAACGGCTTCGGAGATCGAGACTTTGGAAGGCAATCGCAAAACTGTGGACAAGATGTCTCTTATTGAAGACTGGAGTCATATTTACGAGAACTTCTTGGCATTTGCTTCCGCCATGGCTGAAAGAAATCCTGAAGAGCTTTACCACGTGTATGAGAATGTAACGCAAGCCCTGCACCCTGGTTCTCAGGTTTCAGCTCAAAGTGATGGCCTTGGTGATAATTCCACTGGCCTTGGTGATAATTCCACTGACCGTGGTAATAATTCCACTGGTAACGAAAGCAATGAAAAAAATAAAGTAGAAAGCCCTGCCATGGAAATGTCATCGGAATTCGAGAAAATTACTCTGCAGGAAAATGAAGATGGTGTATCACTGAATAGATCTTCGGGTACCTGTGATGAGACTGCTCAGGAGAAACTTACGAAGGATGCTAACCAAGAGGGACAAGATCTTAATAGGACTGTAGAAAATGACGAGACGTCAAAAATTGATGGAGAAACTTTGGTAGCTGCCGTAAGTAGTGGTGGTGATGAAGATGTTGCTAGGAGTAGCCGACCGGTCATTGGGGAAAGCCAGGATCTCACATTACCGAGCAGAAACGAGGAAATTGAAGAGTTTGGAGAGCATGTGAAGGATATTAACTGGGTCAAAACTAAGGACTTTGAGGAAGCAAGTGATAACGAAGTACCATCAGAATCGTTGGGCAACGTTGTAACAAGTCGTTCAACTTTCGGAGCCGAAGCTGCTGATGAAACGTTCATTCAGGAGAGAAATGCGGTTGACACGCAGCCATCTCTGGTTCATAATGATAATTTGAGCGACACTGAAAGAGGTGAAAACTCGTTTTATGTTGTCAAGGAGGGGAATGACCAGTTGTGGAGAGAAATTGAGGACGAGGAGATCAGAGAGCCAGTGATAGCTTCAAGTGTAGAAGCCAATGCTGTTCAGGTTTCGTTCGAGAGTAAGGAAGAGCAGTTGGAAGAGGGTACTTTTGATTTGGATGTAGAGAAGTCTGCTTTAAGCACAGGAGATGAAGACAAGGCCACGGAAGTCAAAGTTCAAGATCTCCAAGATGTTCATAACGATGATTCCAACACCAACATTTGTACTGAAGCAGAGGTGTCCCTGGAAAATGATCTTGGTTTAACTCGAGGGCAAACTCAAACTTCCCACGAAGAAACTCCACTTGGAGAACATGACAAAATGTTTTTGGAACGCGAAGGCCATGCATTACCTGGATCACCGAGTATGGATTTAAAGGGTGGAGAGGCGACTGGCTCGCAATTTACCAGTGCAGTGGCTCAACACAGCGATATTTTTCATGATACAAGAAAAGAAGAAATTGCCCTTAACAGTTCAAGCCAACCTGATGTACGAGATCCCGATCAAGAATCAGAGGTTATTCATACATTTGGCGCAGTTGACACTCATGAAGAGCACGCGAATGAAGTTTTGGAAGTTTCTTGTGAAGATGCTGAGAAATTACAGTCTCTTAATACTGTGCTCTCTTCCAACGATCTGCCAGCCAGTGGACACATGGAAGATAATTTGTGGCTTCAACAAGACACCGAACAATCTCAGGAAACTCTAGACGAAGGTGTTGAGTTGGAAAGATATTCTTCGGATGAAGGATTTTATACGCCAGAAGATACTATAGACCTCTCATTAAGAAGTAATAGTGTGGCCGGGGAAGACAGGGAAACAAACCTTCACAATAACCGTACACAAAATAGTGATCCTGAACCCAGCTGTACAGAAAGCGAAAAAGGTGTAGCTACGCTGTCCAAAGAAGGGCTTCACTCAGAAGGAGATTCAAAGACATTGACAACACAAGGCGTTGATGGACCACTGTCTGAAAAAGAAGCCCATGTCAGCCTGCCCGAGGTGAAGGAATTACAAGAAGATAGCGTGAGCAGATCAAGCTTGGAGGATAAACAACAGTTGACAAGCATGGACATTCTGAAAGCCGTCACAGCTGCTTTTGAAGAGATACTTGAACTTCATGGCGACGAGAGGGATGCAGATGACACCAGACTGTGATACGAGGGTAGATAGATGTAAACTCGCCCAGACCTCCCATCCCTTCTCCTCCTCCTCTTCCTCCTCCTCCCCCTCCCCCTCCCCCCCCCAAAAAGGAAATGCTCCGATTGAATCAACTGTGTTGTAAACGAGCAGTGAATTGAACAAAAACGGTTAACCAATGGAATCGAAAAATTATACCCGACACTGGAAATTTCGTGCAGTCAAACATGATAATTTTGGTAATTTTGTGTCCTTTTGGCTCCAACACAAGGGCAGTACTTTTTGAAAAATCTGCGCCAAAAGAACTTAATACACGTTGAGCAGTCATGTTCGAGCGATTTTGAAAGGCTCGCGATGGGCTCCCTTTTCTACAATCACACTGAAATTCTGTGAACCATCACATCGATTTCGCACCCGGTCATCAGCTCGTTCGGCACGTGGGTGGGGGTGTTCAAGACTGCATAATAAATGTCTTTGACTCGAAACGAAAAACCACACTGATGACAGAGATTCCTATTTTCACTCTGATTAGTTGATAATTTTTCACGAGTTTTCGAAATCAGATGCAACACTTAATATTTATCTTCATGAGTTCAGGGTGAAATTACTTATTAACTTTGTCATTCCAACATAGAAATGTAGCGTATTTTCTAATTCTAGTCAAATACGATTTAATTGGCTCAGGCGTGGCCTTAAGGAGAAAAAAAGTTTCTGCGTTCAAGACATACATTTTTCCTGATCTGTCAGACGGTGAGGAACGACGTTCTGAGTCACTGACTGGATTATTAGGGGAAATAATTCCATTCACACAAGGGGTGGGGGTACAGCAGCGGCTTACTTAATGAAGATATTTTGCATGTTCGCCCAAGATCATCACTTTCATCTTATATGGATTTGTCTTAGGCTTTGTAGTACTTTCCAAAGCTTGGCGAAAATCTTTGACTACACTCCCTCTTGTCTACCTTGTAGTAAAAATTTAGTGCCCCATCTTGTTCTAACTTTAAAGAGGGTGAACCCTCAACTTCTAAAAAGGGAAGCAATCGGTCAGGCTTGTAGACTAGGTACGTCAACCACGTGACTTGTTTCCGATAGTGTTTTGCAAAAGTGAATAGCAAGAAGTTATGAACATCTTGGGAATAAATGTCTGATCTTGGTAAGTGCGTCGTTGACCAGGCCTTAAAGTGGATCTTTTTCCTTAAGGCTAAGATAAAGGCCTGTCCACGTGGACTAATGTTAGAAATTATTTAATATCCACCAAACATTAGGCATATATCATGACATGTAGTCACAGTAATTATATCTATTAAGTAAGTCGGTTCCTTTCTTTCAGAGCAGTGTTGAATTGAGTGTCCCAAGTAATGCAGGATTGTATTGATTTTATTTTCGCCTAAGATTGGTTCAGGAAACTCGCGCCCTCCCCACAGCTTATCAGATGTAAAACTAGAAAACAATCGCGTCTTGGTCATCCACGTCTTCCCGCGTTTCAAGCAGTTTGCTTATATTCATTTTGAGTTCTCATTGGCGTACAATAATGTAAACGCTTTTTTTGATTGGTTGCTTGGATTACTCAGTTGAAAACGGCTCTGAAAGGGTATAGTAACAACAAATTGTCACGCGACCGAATGGAAGCCCTGATTCAATCACTGTTTATCGCTTTGGAAATGATTAAGTTAGTAATTTAAAAAAAGTGATTAATGCCGTTTCAAAATCAAAATTATTGAAATATAGTTGTTAATTGTCAGGAGAACACCATGTCATTAGGCCGGTTCAATAAGTTAAATAATGAAATTCGATGAATGTTTGAATTTAATTTAAAATGTAGGTTAGTTTATTTAAATTCGAAAGGGAGATATGCAATGTCTAATATGTTGTCATGTCCACGTGTTGTAAAAGTGTTGTAAAGCTCATCATTGGCATCTACGTTCGTCAAAGATTTTTAATTTTCTCGTTGGCCATGTTTCAAATTTATACACATCGAGTAAGATGAATATGTTCACTTCTCTTTGGGCCCAACTCTTGTCCTGCAGGCATTTAGACAGCGGTTATTTCTCTTACTTCCTCTTTATGTATTCAAACAAGTTGCTTGTGTATTATAGGCTGTACAGTTGAAATTATGTTGAAATGATTTGATAGGAACAATTGTTTGACATCTTTGTCTTCAGGAGACAATAAAAGAGGAAGAAAACGGGCTTTGTGTATTATATTAGAAGCTTTGTGTTACAGTTATAGAACACGGCGGTCAAACATGGGGCATGCGCGAGGGGATCAATTCTAACTGGCCGTGCGCCAGTTTCCCGCGCAAAGTTTCAAAGGAAAATATAAAACAACTGCTGCCGCAAAATAAGTGAAAGAAAATTGAAGCGTTCTTAGAAATCTTTAAAAGGAAGCAAAAGTAGGGAAAGGGGAAAATAGAGACCTCGAGAACTCAAAGCCTTTTCAAGTAAGGGTTTCCTGTGGATTTGCTACTGATTCCAGCTTTATCAAAAACAACGTTCGCATATGCGCAGACGTTTTCCCACCGTGTTCAGTTTCCTAAAGTTATTTGAAATACAGTGGAACCTCTCTGACTTATGCTGGTAGGGGAAATGAAAAACAGTTCGAGATGACGGGTTAGAGACATTTCGAGTAAAATGAAAGTGAGATGGAGAGTGTACTTTAAGAAGTGACCTTAAATTCGGATTAATGAGGTTCTTTGTACACGGTGAATTCTGATGACGTTGAAGATTGCTTGAGCATGACTTACGGAGGAAGGCTGTTGCTCTGCAGCCAGTTTGTCACTTGGAAGAAATAAGCGTTAATCCGCAATTAAAACTTCAACTTGGGTTTGAGAGCTCTTCTTCAGTGTTTGTGTTAAGGTTCTCATGGTTTTATTACGGCTTAGGGCAGAAAGTCGAGGAGACAATATAAACAGTAACTGTGTGAGTAACACTGAATCTAAATAGAAAATTCCTTCTAACTCTGAGGAACTTAGTCGACTCCTTCGTTCCATGAACACTTCTTTAGTGATCGTAGGCCTTGTGTCCTTTCAACTTAAAAACCACACCGGGAGGCTGGGTCTTCAAGAAGCTCTATACAGTAAAATTGTATCCCCTACTTAAGGCAAGACCTGGAAGACCAAGCCCCTGTTAGACAGCACCTACCATTTGAGTAAAAGAAGGGAGTGTCCCGACCATAAATACCAATTTTAAGCAAAACATATGATGCACGATCCTCGCCGTAGATAGCGCTATTTAAGCAATAGCGAAAATCAGACCTGAAAAAAATCAGGCCTGTACGGGATTCGAACCACTGACCTCTGCGATACTAGTGCAGCGCTCTACCAATTGAGCTAACAAGCCAACTGGGAGCAGGCCGTTAAGTTGATTCGTAATAAACCCGTGAAAGTGATAAATGAGATACAATGAAATATATGAAGTTCATATATTTTGTACTGCGGTATTAGATACATATGATGCACGATCCTCGCAGTAGATAGCGCTATTTAAGCAATAGCGAAAATCAGACCTGAAAAAAATCAGGCCTGTACGGGATTCGAACCACTGACCTCTGCGATACTAGTGCAGCGCTCTACCAATTGAGCTAACAAGCCAACTGGGAGCAGGCCGTTAAGTTGATTCGTAATAAACCCGTGAAAGTGATAAATGAGATACAATGAAATATATGAAGTTCATATATTTTGTACTGCGGTATTAGATACATATGATGCACGATCCTCGCAGTAGATAGCGCTATTTAAGCAATAGCGAAAATCAGACCTGAAAAAAATCAGGCCTGTACGGGATTCGAACCACTGACCTCTGCGATACTAGTGCAGCGCTCTACCAATTGAGCTAACAAGCCAACTGGGAGCAGGCCGTTAAGTTGATTCGTAATAAACCCGTGAAAGTGATAAATGAGATACAATGAAATATATGAAGTTCATATATTTTGTACTGCGGTATTAGATACATATGATGCACGATCCTCGCAGTAGATAGCGCTATTTAAGCAATAGCGAAAATCAGACCTGAAAAAAATCAGGCCTGTACGGGATTCGAACCACTGACCTCTGCGATACTAGTGCAGCGCTCTACCAATTGAGCTAACAAGCCAACTGGGAGCAGGCCGTTAAGTTGATTCGTAATAAACCCGTGAAAGTGATAAATGAGATACAATGAAATATATGAAGTTCATATATTTTGTACTGCGGTATTAGATACATATGATGCACGATCCTCGCAGTAGATAGCGCTATTTAAGCAATAGCGAAAATCAGACCTGAAAAAAATCAGGCCTGTACGGGATTCGAACCACTGACCTCTGCGATACTAGTGCAGCGCTCTACCAATTGAGCTAACAAGCCAACTGGGAGCAGGCCGTTAAGTTGATTCGTAATAAACCCGTGAAAGTGATAAATGAGATACAATGAAATATATGAAGTTCATATATTTTGTACTGCGGTATTAGATACATATGATGCACGATCCTCGCAGTAGATAGCGCTATTTAAGCAATAGCGAAAATCAGACCTGAAAAAAATCAGGCCTGTACGGGATTCGAACCACTGACCTCTGCGATACTAGTGCAGCGCTCTACCAATTGAGCTAACAAGCCAANAGCTCAATTATCCTTCAACGAAAATGCTGTTCACCGAGTGGTTTTGCCTTTTAAAGATCAAAAGTCAGCTGACGCAGTGAAAAGGCAATTATCAGATCTAAGCAACAAAATCGATCACACCCTTCATCCCGTGTTCAAGAGTCGCAAAATCTGTGAAGATCTCAGAGTACGTGAGCCTAAACCTCCTATAGTTAGCCAACAATGCGTTGTATATAATTATAAATGTGATCTGTGTGATGCAGAGTACGTCGGGTACACCAGCCGGCATTTACATCAACGTATTAATGAGCACCGTAATTCGGCCATCGGCAAACATCTAAAGAACGACCACGGCCTACAAACCATCGGCGACCTGACCAAGCATTTCAACGTACTTAAAAAGTGCACCGGGAAACTGGACTGTTTAGTTCATGAAATGCTTTTCATAAAGAAGATGAAGCCCTCTTTGAACAAACAATCGGATTCCATACGCGCGAAACTATTTATTTAATAGTTTACATTTATGAACTCAACACGCGCAATTATTTATTTAAATATTTTAAATATTTTAAACTTTTTACGTTTGCCACCTTCGTACGGTATAAATTAACTATTCATTTTTATTCTCTTCTCACTTGAGAATGATGACATGGAGTCATCGAAACGTTGTGTATTTTTCTCGCTAGTGTTTATTCTTAAATGTCTAACAAAATCTAATGTCATTCGAATTAAAAGAAAGTTTTTTTTTAATTCAAAGGGGATAGAAATTCGGGTACTTATTATGATGGTTAACCTTTTAAACTCTCATGCAGGACCAAGACAGAATCTATTTTCATAATACTAAAACAATATTAGGCAGACAAGTGATGAGAATAAAGGCAAATTTCAATGAGGGTGTTGTAAGTTGCTCTAATGACAAATTCTCCAAATGTATGTCGTAAGGATTGTATGACAGACAGTAAGGAGAATTACTAATGAGATCTTGGGAGTGGAAGGTTTAAGTGTACCAAAATTAATTATTGGTTGTCAATAACTGTAGACTCCATCCAAGATGTGATTTTTAAAAAGACCAAATTTATTCCACGTTCACATTCAAATGAGTTAATAGAATGCATCTGATTATGTTGAAGATGATGATGATGGTTTGACCAAAAGGAAAATTACAATTATAATTACAATAGATCTAAGAAAATTGACAAACAGAATGAAAACAAAAAAGGACTAACAATTACAGATATTTCCTCCTATTAGCGTGAATGGGTAGAGTGAAATAACTGAGAATTTTAGAGTAAAAACTTGCCATAACAAAAGCCAACACTGATATATTATACAATGAAAAACGAGAACTTAGAAATCAAACAAGTCACATGATGGTCAATGAGTCAAATTTTAAATCAAGAGTCATGCAAATTTGAATCTGACAATAACAAAAACAACCAATCAGGACTAAGCTTTGAAGCAAAGGGTGAACATGAGTTGTATAAGTGGACGATTTGGTTTTATCAAATGAGTTGATAACATAAATTGGCACTGTAAAGAGTTTCCAAAGCTGACATCTCGAGGGTTAGGTCTTCACAGGAGTTCTGATGAAGGGCCTATGCTTAAAACATATCCAGTGAAATAGTTAATATAATGTGCAAAATTATTTTTCTTGTATTAAAAGAGAAATTATAGTTCAGCAACAGATTTTAAATATCACATACAGTTGAACCTGCATTAAGGGGCACTGTATCTAGTGGTCACCCTGTATTAAACAGTCCGTTTTCGAAGTCCCAAAAAGTTTTTCCCCTGAATAACAGTCATTTTTACCTTTATTAAACAGTCACCACTATTAAGCGGTCATGGTGACCCTTTGCTGAGTCCCAGCAGCCTGTTTGTATTGTTCTCCACCTGTATCAAATGGTCACTTGAAGTGCAACCACTCAAGTAAAACTAAAAATAATCTTTTGAGTAAACTTGAATGTCTGTTTATTTCCAGAAATTAAAGTTAGTGTTGTTTGTGAGCTAGTTTTTGTATATTAAGTTTTCATTTATGGCTAAACATGGTGTTTTTTTCTAATACACCTGTGAAACCTGTATTTAGCATTTGACCAAGTTTTAGCAGTCACCCCATCATTCCCTGTTGGTGAGAGGTTAATACAGATATTAATGCAAGATATTATTTTTATCTCTGTGGAAATGGTACTGGTGATTCAAATGATGTTGCTTGATTTGTTAATGTGTGACACAAACTGTGAAAATTAGTCCTCTGTTAAATTTTCTACAGACTTTCCTTCCTAAATTATTTCACCATTATTTCATTTTTATTATCAGCACCAAGAGATGAACAACAAACTCAAGTGGTTGTTTTCAAGCAGTATGGCATTATATCCATCTGTTTACATATATGATCAACAGTCTTGGAATAAAGCTTTCACATATGGGAGACTGGAGGAAGCAATTAGACTGGCAACTTGGGTTTCAAAGGAAAAGAAGAGAACAGTTCCTGTGTTTCCTTATTTCCGTCACCTCTACGAAGGAAAACCGTTTGAATTTGATTACCTTACTCTTGTAAGAAAACTTTCATTTTGTGTCTATACCTGTTACTAACCCAATTTGAGGTCCAGTTGGATTTATGGTCCAGGTGTTCCTCCCTCTTCCTGTACTTTTATTTCAAGAGTTGCGTTGCTGTTGTAATAAAGGTCAGATCATTCCTGAGGGCTTGATGGTTAGCAGCTCACTAGAATTGAGGAAGAGAGGTCGAGTTTTAAGATTTGGCCAGGTCATTGTGTTATGTTCTTAGTGGCGACACTCACAGTAAATGTTATCTCACAGTGCCAATCTCCAACCAGTGTATAAATGGGTTCCCAACAAATTGTCAGGGAAAGATTACAAAATGCAGGGGTAGCCTGGGATGGACTGGCATCCCATCCAGGAAGGAGGGGGGGGGGAATTATAGTTGCTTTACTACAGAAAGTTGGATGAGTGCTGGCTGGATGGGCTAGACAAAATCCCTAGTTCTGCCATTTATATACACTACTGCCCCCTTTAATCTCCTGAAACCGCATTTACTTAAACTACTGCATTATCCTTGCATTGCCCTGTGACCTCCATGGCTTCCGTTTGATGTTTGCAGGTTGATCTACAGAACACAATTGGCCAGGCAGCTGATATGGGTGCAGCAGGTGTGGTCATGTGGGGAAACAGGCGTGATGAGAACACCTCTCCTGAAGTTTGCATTCAGCTCAACGACTATATTAAAACAAAACTTGGTCCTTACTTTGAATCTGTGAGGCGTCAAATAGAGATCTGTAGTCAGAAAAAGTGTAAAGGTCGAGGACGGTGTGTCGATAGTCGACTGATTTCTTCAAGATGGGTGGCTGAGGAGCCTAGTTTGTATGCACCAACTTGTAAAGGATCACCGAAGCTATTCTCTCCATTCATACAGCAGCATTCCTCTCACGACAATCGTCGAGGTAAAACATGTTTTGCGTTACCTGTTTGAAATGTTTAGAAAAGCAAAATCATGTTGATTTAGTGACCCAAATTTAATTGTCTTTATGCTGCAATATGACTGGACTGTACTTAATTTTTTTTTTGTTTTCAATGCATTTAAGGTGACCAGACAAAAACCAAACTTCACAACTCGAAAAAAAGTGACAGCAAAGGTCACGATTCGCCAGTGGACGCCAAACCACATCATAAACATGGATTGAGTTCCGAACAAAGACAGTATTTAATGAAAGAGCTCACGCTGCTCAATGCTACAGGAAGCAGGAAAGTGTTTCTCAAATCTCGTCATCGTAATTCTACCAAGGACTTCGTGGTTTTCATGTCCACGTCTGACTCGGCTGTTGAGGTGAACAAAGCTCCCCAGGATGCTGATAGAGGGGTAGCGGCTACAAGCGGACTGCACTACCATGACAAGTTAAATGACAGGTTAGACTAAGGAACTTAAAGTATGTTGTAGAAACCGTATAATTTCTCCGACAATAGAGCGAGCTTTGATTGATTGTCGTAAAACCAAAGTCAAAGGAATAACAACAGCCAACCAGGGGAAAGGAAAATATCACCAAGGACCAATAAGAACTCAAAGTAAGAACAAATATACTGCCGAAAGCGCGGTAAAACGCGCATGACCAATTTATGATTTGTTTTATTTTGAATCTGAATAGTTTCCAAAGTATCGAGAGATTTGGGGACTAATCACAGCATTTTTCAAGCAAAGGCGGGGTGAATTCCGGATTAATTTCAACACGACTGAAAATTGTTCTTAAAAGGATACATCATAAATCAGATTCTGACGCTGACCGAGTTTTGACAATCCCAAGAGTAACCTAATCCTTTGAAAATTGTCTTTAAATGTTTTGAAAATTTGTGCTCGGACTCCGCCATTTTTGAAATTATCCAGGCACTCTTACCGCTCAACTGTGGCGTAATGAAGTCTCTTTCCCCTTTTCTATCTGATCTCGTGACGCTCTGACGATTTCTGTAAAACCCACTGATTTTAGAGAAAACCATTCTTGTTCTACAAACCCCCATAAATTCACAGACCATATATGGTTTCCACACGCTTATTTCTCACCCTTGGTGAAGGGTGTGACCTGAGCGAATTTTCATTTGGTCTATATAAGGACAACAGATATTACTACAAAACGTTACGTTGTTGTACGCGCAGTCACTTAGGATCGGCGCACAGGCGACAAGTTGAGGCATCAGATTTCCCTCTGTCCATCCGATGAGATGTGGCACTTTATTTAAATCAATCAAAGATGCTTTGAGGACAGGATGATCATGGTTTTCCGTCCTGCATCCTGTGTGTTGCGATTGTCAACTGCCCTGAACATAACATTTAAGTTACGTTTTACCCATAATCCCCTAAGAGTGCCAAGCATCTCCATACAGTATCACCCTGAATTAAACATTAAGGTCATGAGAATAACGCAAATGATTACCACCTAAAGACTCTCTTGATCGTTAAACAAATGCTCCTCGTCACCACCTTAGGAAATTTATAGAGAACAGTAAAGAGAATGTACATACTGATCACGATTAGGGTGTAAACGTGGGGTAAACAATAGGTACAGACTGTAACGTTTTTAATTTTTGTGTCTTCAGTCCAAGTTTTACTGAAACAACATCCAGGGGAGCCATGGCACCAAGTAAACTAATGCTTTGTAATGAATCGTCACCCGAGTACACAAACTGTGAAATCATGAAAGAAAGTCCGTCAGCGTACACAAGTGGATTCCATTTTCCTCACACGTATGTGGTGTTTATTTGCGCGTCTCTGGGCTCCGCTCTGCTGGTATCCACTACTTTCATTATGAGTTACTATTACTGCAGTATTCGCAAGAAGGTAGAAGATGACGATATTCCGCGCGGAGACTGATAATCAGTGACAAAAGTAACGAAATTACTCCCGTGGAGCTTTGTAAAGTGAGTTTCAGTTCGATTTTAATCGTCAATCTTTGGCTGTTCGCCATAATTGTTGGAAGCTCGAGACAAAGGTGGAATGCGTGCGAGCTGTCTTGATGAGTACCTAGAAGACACAGCAAGGACAGAAACAGCTATTTCATACTGGTTCTATTCCATGGGAGAAATGCAGTACAGAATAACCTCGGTTACTAAACGACGTGTAAATCTAACTTGTTAATGGTCCTTTGCCAACTGAAGGTTTCAAATTCCACCCAAATTCCTTCTATGCAAAAGACGATAATGTATGTCAGATTTTTCTTCGGCCAAAAGAGTGATATTGTTGATAACAGATTTTGAAGTTCAATTGTTTACAAACCGCAAAGATGCAGTTTGCATCATATTACTAGAAGCATATCGGTGTATGGAATTCGTCTAAACCAGATCAATGCAATAGTTTGTTAAATTCACGCAAGGGATTTTCCATCGTTGATCAGCGGTTGCGTTACCAGGTCTCAACTGCCTGACCAACGACAACCTTTGATATTTAAGGGAAGCCATTGTGGCAAATTATCTGCTTTTTTTTTTTTTTCGTTTTGACATTTGTATTTTGTGAGGTAGAATCCTTTAAAACAACGGAAATGACAGTAAAAATAACAGCTCAGCAATCGGCTTTTGAAATCACAGGTTTCAATTTCTGTTTTGCTTACCGAAGAAAAACATGACGTTTGATGTTTTGTCAGGATTATGAGATGTATCTAAACAGAACACCCATTAGTACCATGCTTGAGATCAAAGGCGTCTTGTTGCAAAGTATAGAGAAGTATTTTTTTGGTTAATAAAAATGTTTAAACTTACTTATGAAAAGCGTTTTCTCTTTTGTCGTATCCTACGCTCTGGACTTCTTATTTCACACTTTCGAGAGAAAATTAACAGCCTAAATTAAAGTCGATAAGCTTTGCCGGTTGAACGTCAGTTTCATTATCATAAATTTCAACAAGTACTTTAGTTGTCATGTGACGGGATGTTGGCCGTTCACGCAACAGATGACAACGACCACATCCTTACAGGAACTTGCCAACTTCTGCAGCATATTACCGAATGAATGCAGATCATTGCCATTTAAAGTAACCTCAGCTGCTAGTCCATTGAAAGGCACTTGTTGCGGCGGATGGGCATGCAGTTGTTTGTTCTAAAAAAATTTGCTCCATATCTGCCATTAAGAGATTATTTTGGGGAGTCGGCCGCACCTTTTATCGGTTTATCTGTGAAATCACTCACCCTAGACACCGGGAGGACACGAAATACTCGGCAGGCAGGCAGGCAGGCAGGCGATTCAACACTTTTTCCGTCATGCCAAATAATTGCCAGACTCTAAGATCTTTCCCTTTTCTGTACATTTACCGGTTTAATAAAAGATCGTTTTTAGAGTACAGAAATACTAGGGTTCATACACGTAGAGTCGTAGTTTATTCACTAAAAGTGTTTAATGTTGCCTTGTGTTTTAGAAGGTAAGCAGGATGTATTTTCATTTCAACAAATTAGGATACTTATCGTGATTATAAAGCGTAGCCCACTTACTCAATGAATCAAATGCATTAAAACTTTCCTTTTTCTGAAGAAACCTTTTTGGTAGGTAATCTTATTTTAGTCAGATAGTATTTACCCTTGGTCCGCATTACTTTTAGGTACCCAATCTTATTTAAAAGCTGTGTTTCCCTATTGATGCACTTTATGAAAGGACTGTCTTACATCTTGTTAACCAATGTGTACTCTTTGAGTGGTCTCAGAGACCTCAGTGCCAACTTGTAAGCATAATGAAACTCAGCACTATTTTTAGCGAAAGCCAAGTTATGTTTTTTAAGAGGATTTCATTGCTTGCCTCGTTGCCAATGAATGTCTGTTACGGGTTTGGGTGTTTAGTCTGTTTTGTGCTTGTGTAGCTAACTAGAGAACCCCCCTCTGGGATCCGAGAAAATTCCAAATTGCCACACACCTACGCAATATTTCATTTGATGAAGATCGAATCACGGTTCGAATTTTGTTGACACCTTGTTAGCAAAAATGGAAAAAGTTATTTTCACGAATTTGAGCCCATCGTAAAGATTCATAAGCCCTTGTAATTGTAAGTATTGCTTGCAAATTCCAATTCCAGCCATATGTTATGCGTTTACTTGGAACGGTATTGTCAAAGTTAGAATCATTTCCAAAACAACTTATTCCTGATCGAATTAAATGGCGATACTATATCGGGGAATATTTGTTTATGAAAACGAAGAAATAATTTCTTTAAAAAAAAACTTGTTAGTTTGCAAGACCCTAATCGCACAAAATTCTGTCTAATTTCTGATTCTGTAAGCTGATTGACCCACTACGTACATGGACTATACGGCTAACCTCAACTGAATCAAATTTCTGATCTCAAATAGGAAAAACCAAATAAACCTGGCGCTCAAAAACCGAAACATTTGGTAGAGATAATCTTAAAATTAAAAACTTGGCACAAAAATCACTCTACGGGAGAACTTTTTTAATACTCTTTTAGGTCCTGGCATGTGTTCACATCGTTTATCTTTTCAGCTTCCTGTTAATTCAGCGATCTCGGACGTTTTAAAACGCTTATGTATACAAGTTCTGCTGGAAATTTCGCTTGAAGCCTGGATTTAAACGTTGTGTGTTATCAAAAATGCTCAGTTTTAACAAAACAGTCTATACCGGTATTAAAAATAGCTCACACGTGAAACATGATCGATGAAAAAATGTCCGCATTCATTTGCCTCCACGGCATATTTTGTTAAGATTTCAGTCTAAGATTTTTCCACTTCCGAGAGGCATATTTTCTATTATTTCGTTAATGATCATATCACGGCATAAAAGCGGATCTTGAGTGAGATTTGCTTGTCTAAGAGATAACATCTTAGCTAAAATGAATGCTCTGCCGTAATTATACGGATGGAAATTTCGCCTTTCAGCTCAAGGTGGAAGAGTGAATATAAACAGTTGGGATCTCTCTAGTCTTCAGCGAGTACCTAGCAAATGAGCTGGCGAGAGATAGAATAGAAATTTCCAACCTAATCTATTTGATGAACAAATCACATTTGAGAAATATTGCGGGTCGCTTGCCTTGTTGAGTCGAGCTCGAGGTCTGTCGAGTGGTTCGTACAAGGAGGTCCGACAGCACTTCTAACATTTGCTTTATCTTGCCGCCTTACTCAAATGAAAAGAATGTAAATAAACAGCATCAGCGGTGTCATCAAGGAGAGAACACGAAAATATAGTATATTTGGCCAGTTGAATAATAACGGTTTGCTTTCTTAGTGGATTTAGATTGGTATCGACTTAAGTAATGTGAGATGTTGATTAACCAGCTAAGGATTCGAGGAAGACTGGAACTAGACGACTAAAGCAAAATGGCGGTGGTGGTCGAGGCAGTATATGTTTATTGGGGAAACATGTGTAACTTTTGATAAACAAGATTTCGAGTGTAATTAATGCGAGAAAAGGGGAGATCTTCCGATGAAGATTTTTGATGATGCGTTTAGGACCATTCTGTGTGCACAAGCTTTCGTTAAAGCTGTTTTTGGCGTGCAGTTTCACATCCGTCGCAACTTTGTACTTTTTTTGGAATGGATGTGAAGTTCATTCAACTCTTCCCACAAATAAATACGAAGAGATAAGAAGTGTGCCACTAACTGCTGCAGATTGTTCTAAAGCAATTGCTGAAACAAGCAAGGACGAAGACGTTTCCATAGTAAGGACAGAACTAAGCTCACAGAAACCTGCAGAATCAGCCGCGGTCGATTGTCCCAACGACCAGCGAATCGACGTAATAGTCAACGGAGAAAAGAAATTGGAAGGACGATTAATAGGAAACGAAGCCTATGTGCCTTTTTCTTTTGTCAGAGGCTATTTTGATATTTATGGCGACCTTCAGGAGTTAGATGGAAAGACTGTTTTGGATTGGCGGCATTCTTACTCTGATGTACACCATGCGAAAACTGGAGCTGTCTACGAAACGAAAGCGCCGTTTCTCTGGTTTGAATCTTATCATGTTGAAGGTCGCGCAAGAGTAAAATGCATTAGTGGAGTTGAAGATGTTCCAGTTTCGTTACAGTGGAGTCCAGAAGGACATTTTTATCCTATTCAGATTGCGCAGTATGGCCTCTCTCACTACAACTTGCTGCAAATTGAAGGCGATTCAGAAGGGAGAGAAAAAGTTTTCGAAGATGCTGAAACTGTATCAGAAGTGAATTGGAACTGGGCCTTCCCTAAAAGTGCGCAGATGGCCAACGTGTTCGACAAGGAACGTAATTCTCGAGTTTTCCAGTTTTCCACCACAGGTAAGCTCCTCAAATATTACATCTGGTTATTTTACTTGTGCTATTGTTGTGAGAGAACGCATATTTTTTAGAAGACAAAATTTTTTAGAGGAGCGTGCGTGACAGTCTGTAATATAACTAGATTTGTACTTTATTATGTACCTACATGCTAATTAGTACTTGAGAGATCGTGTTTTTTTTTTCTCTCTCGTTTTTTCGCAACTCGATAATTCTAATGTAGAGTAGAATGTTTGTTGTGGTAATTTCTAGCGAAGCGTAACAAAATATCCGGCACGGTTTTCTCTTGATGCGCCGACATGATGAGTAAACATGGCTTTTAAACACGAAAATCTTATAGCGCTGCAATCGGATTTCTTTTTCACACCTACGTTACTGAAATTAATCTCTGAACGAACCTATTCGCTCAAGTTAAGGCGCCTAATCGGTGGATGTTGATTAAAAAGTGTTCTTTACTAATAGATGCACTCTTTGTCCAGTGTAAACAAATTTCCAAAATTCTTGCATTTGATAAGCAAACCTCAATTAATCTTTCTATCTGGCCCGTGATTTCCCTGTGCGATAACTCGCGTATAATCGACGTTCAAAGCGGAAAAAGTAAGCGAACTAGGAGCTGAAGAATATTGCTTTTCCATTAGAGACTGATGTGTTTTTAATTATTTTTATGAAAACGATCATTCATTGGCTAGGCAAGATACATTATGGAGCCAAAGAATGCGAAGGAAATATTGGAGACACCACAAAGCGCGATAAACGACTTATTATTTCCACAAAACCGATTTAAACTGTCTAGGAGGTGTCTACAAAATTAATTTTCCTAAACCTCTTTTGGGTACAAAACATAGATTAAGCCATTTAATTCATGATTTTTAGTGGAAAGATGCTTAAGGTTTCTCCCACTTTAGTTCCTAACCTCTATGTTTCACAACAGAAACAACTGAAATTATTGAATGCAGTAACACCCATTATCTTTTTTTCCCAGAGTCTAGATTCCACTTGATAAACCTCCCTAACCTTTCCTGTTGCTCTTAATTACTTTTTTTAGATGGTATGTTTCATTTTTGCATTTCTGTTTCTCCATGAAATGAATTGCAGTTTTACTTTCTCTGAGTAAGAATCACTGGTTCTGTTCAATTCAACTGGAATGATTGACATGATTTTAAACCAAACATTTTTAATCACATTGCTTATTATTCTTTGTGCCTTGTGCAAGGGAGGTCTTACATGCAAACTATGTAAACATTATAGTTCAAAAATCTAAACAATAGACACACACATTTGACTCAGGGGGTGATTTGTTAGTTAAATTGGCTCTGCGGTTTGTCTGATTACCAATGGGTGACCCAGCAGAACAAAATTCTCTGCCAGATGAAAATTTTAGTGTTTTATTTTTACATGTATGTAAAGAATGAGTATTTATTGTTTTTTTTAATTTTTTCTCTTAATTCAACCAGTTGCAAAATGTCTTGGGAAATAATGTAATTGTCAACTAGACATAATGAAGAACACATTATTCTGGCTACTGACTGATGTTGATTGCTGTTGAAAACTAGCAGAGAACATTTTTATAAACAAACAAAAAAAAGAAGTACTCGCTTTGAAAATATGGGAACAGAGAGACAGAGCTTGTTTTCATAAGTTGCACATTTATAATTAGTTGGCTGTAAAAAACAGTTTGTTTTTTCATTTATCAGAAATGTCAGTATTTGATCTAACGATACAACATGCAATAATGAACCTGAAAATATGCTGGCAATTTAATACAATGGTTTGTAGTTAACTGTAATGGTGTTAAATGATGCACAGTTATATTTAAGGATATTCATTCCAATTTAAAACCCTGTATGTCTTTGTCGTGATAATTGGTTGGGGACAATGCCTACCACCTCAGGCAAAATTAACCCCAAAATAAAATAAGGAGAATGTATAAGTAGAATGGAACAAAATAAATGGCTAGAATATTTCAACCACTACTTTGCTAAGCTCCCCTTTCACCTTCCTATGATAAGGAAAATCATTGCTCTCCCCTCTGTTAAGCGTGTCAGGTTAAGAGAAGATGCAGGGCAGTAGAACAATCCTTTTAATTGTTGTTTCAAGAATTTCAAGCAATTTTAGGCAGTAATAAGAGGCACTACTGATAGGCAGTAAATTTTACTGGTTACCACCTACAAAGAAGAACGTCGGCAAGATGCTGCATTTTGGTCTTTGCATAATTCTTTTCTTTATTAATTTGAGTAGTAAGGAACAGGATTTGTTAATCCCTCTTTACACATTAGAAGCAAAATAAAACCACCTCTCCCTTCCCCTTTTAATTGCACTGCATACTTTAGTCTAGGATGTTTTGATACAAAGGCAAGAGAATGGAAGGGAAAATTTTTTTGTTGATTTGTATTTCTGTGAAAGATTGTCTTTATCCCTGTTGGCAAAATGCTTTTCTTTGTTTCAAATGTAGGAAAAACCTGTTGTTGGCATTCTGATTTTAACTCACAATTTTTAGACTAAGGCCCAGTTGTTCAAAGGGCGGATAATGCTATCCAACAGATAAATTGTAATCCAGGCGATAAAAGTGAAGAAAATGTACTGGGCTATCCTGTGGGTGGAGATTTATAGAGTGAATGGCATTATCCACGATTCAAACAACAGGGGTCTGATGGTTTCATCCATGATGAATTAGGGTAAGGTAGGGTAATCATACCATTTTCACAAACACAAATGTTGCATCCCCAAGAAACTTTGAAATTCAAATTTAACTGTTTACTGGTTTCAACTGTTGACTGAGTTTTATTGATATAAGCAGCAATGTAAATGTAGATCTATTATGATGTCTTTTCATATATTCACAAACATTGACTCATCACTTCACGGGTTTATTATGAACCAACATAGTGACCAGCTCCCAGTTGGCTTGTTAGCTCAGATGGTAGAAGACTACACTGGCATCACAGAGGTCATCTAGTAGGTTTGAATCCCGTACAGGCCTGAATTTTTTTGAGGCCTTATTTGCACTTTTTAAGTAGTGTTCAATACAGCAAAGATCACTCTCATACTCATTTCTTTAACTGCAGTTCACATAAATGATTTTCATATATTCACAAACATATGATGTCTTTGTACATGTATTAATGAACATCCACCTGGAAGGGTAGTGAAAATTGAGTACATGTAATATAATAGCTTGAAGTGGATGGATAAGATGAGTTGCAGAGGAGACAACTTTCTGAACATTCAAAGAAGTTGTAGTAAAAACTTGTAGGTCAAAGCCACTAAGTATAGAGTTGTAAGGTAGCAGTTGAAGGCTCAAACATTCCTTCCACTGATTTTTAGATAGGACGTTTCCAGTACTTGTTATCATACTTTAAGCAAGATGCTGACAAACTTACTGACAGCAGAGACAATGATAAAATACCTTTGAGAAAAAAAATTAGCACACTTTAAGTAGAATCCTCCTCTCTCTTTACACTCCTAAAGGGAAAATAACTTAATATTCTGTTGCTCACCTCTTTAAAACAAAACTACTTTTTTCTTTCTCTGGAGCTAGATTTTTTTTTTTTTTTTTTTTCTGTTTTCTGTAAACTTAACTCTTTGACCCCTAAGATTGACTAACATCTAATTTCTCCTAACATTGTTACTCCTGAAGCACATATTCAGGTCATGAGAATCAAGGAAATGATCATCAAATAAAGAAACTCTTTATTGTTAAACAAATTCTTCTCAGCTCCCTAGGAAATATGTAGAGAACAATATGGAGAACATAGATACTGATGCAAGGGTGTAAAGGGCTAACAACCATATTAAAAAGGGCAAGGTACATTCCCATCATCAGTTGCCCAGCCACTAATTGAAGGCTTTTCTTCAGATTTTTTTCGGTCTCTGTCAGTGACTTAGTCCAGGGGTTTCATTAATGTTTTCAGCAGGAGGGTAACTGGTTTTCACAGGCCGGCAAAACTTTTTGAACTGAACTTCTTTATGAGATAAACTTTCCTCCAGATCCAGTCAAACCAGATGGGCAACACCATCCACACAACCGGTCAATTTGCCTAGTGTCTGGCCCTTAATGAAACCCCTGTTAGTCAAAGGTAGATCTTCTTCCCTCAGAGTTCTTTATGTATTTCTCTTTCTTGAAAAGCCTGGGGTCAATCTCTTCAGAGGCACAGAAGAACAGTTAAAAACAAAGGGTGGGAGTTTTATTTGATTCAAATGGCAGAGTAGAAAGATAACAATAGCATTTTATAATACCAAATTTGTAAAATTAAAAATTAATGTGGTAATAAGATAAGAATTAAAATCTGTCAAATGATAAAATCGATACATTAAAATCTGTATATGTTATAAAAGAAAATTTTTATCCACAGCAAAAAAAAACTTGCATAGGAACAAAGTTACTAAATCTGTTTACAGTATCAACAGTTTGCATTTGGGAGGCCATTTACTCACTGATACATAAGTCACTATATGAGGCAATTAAAACCCAAAGCTGATGTACTTGTAACAGTCTTTAATTTTTCTTTAGTTTGGGTCTTATTCAACTTATCTATTTGAAGGTGCAAACCATGAATAAGGAGTGCTAGACAATTTCACTTGTATAAATGATGAAGTGTGTTGCTTTGTGGTGAAACTTAATGAGGATTGATTCAACTTTTTAACAACAGCACAAAGAGCCTTCCTATGAAGGGAATCGCATAGACATCATCTTTATTTTTAAACCTTGCTAACGTATTCTTTTTAGATGATACATTCTCCTACTCTTCAAAAATAAAACTGACAAGAATATTGTTGAAAGTTAAGGCATGACTCTGAGTGACATTACCATTGCAGTTTTCCCAATGATAGACAATGACACAAGTAACTTTTTTGTCATTTACAGTTTCTCTGCTGAAGTGTAAAGTCCCACAAGTGTTCTTTGTGAGACACACAAGAGTATAAAATAATGCAGAGTTAGAAGTCAATATTTTATATAATAAATGATTCTTTTTTTTTATAGAGAAATTGAGGCTAAGATGAGCCAAAATTTTAAGAACATTCCAAACACATACTTGAGCTTGACAGTCGAGTTGAAAAATTTTTTGTTTTTTCTTTTTTTTTTTTAGTGAGAAAAATAAACAAATGTAAAAAAACTGCAAAATTTTAGTTTAAGACGACAAATCAAATACTTCACGACACTTACAGCAAGGCTTTTAGCTAAACGTATAGTTGCTTTGCGATGATTATTTTTGAGATATGTCACTACTGACTATAAAACCTGTATTAACCGGTTACCCATGTGACCCTTGCTAATGTCATTGTAACCTTGAACTCTTAGAAGTGATTAACAAGTAACTTCTGCCTATAATATATATACGTTATCAAGCAAACAGGTCATGGGAATACTCAAACTTCTTAGACGTAGTTGTCTTGATCTAACACGAACTTCTTGTAACTAATTTACAAGGAAATGTGAAGCATCTAGAGGAGAGAATTAACAATCAGATCCTGGGAACGAAACATGTCCTATTAAATTGGGGTCTGCGTTATTAGCTACTTAATTAAACAATGTTTCTGAGCTTATTTGTGTATAGATAAGCTCTGTTCTGTTGCAAATATGGATCGTTTCTGTTTTTGTTCATCACGGATTGTAGAGAGCAAGCCTTCTGAACACACCTGGCTTGGTAAAATTTTTTATAAGCTGCAATGGGAATGATTTTAAAACTGTACAGTTCCTAAAATGTGAAAAATCTCTGGTAAAACCTCCGAAAACTCTAGATTTTCGATTCGCAAAATTGCCATGATTTAATTGCTGTATCCTATAGGTTCGTTCGATACAGGTTTGTTTTAAAGTAAAATTTTGGTGGACACCGACGATTTTGATTAGCGCTTGGTTATTTTGAGGTTCCTGCAAGATAGGTTTCATTGTATAAATTATGCAGTAATCGACCAAAAGAGTGTTATAGTATGTTATAACAGGGTTTGATGCATGATAAACCCCCTCTCTTGAGATAACAGTTGCCGCTGAGATCTCTGTCGCTTTAGATTAAAGAATTCGCGTTTTATTACTTTCACCATCATTATTTTAGATGTGTCGGCGCACTGCACAGACTGTGTTAACAGCTTTGTCCTTTGTCATCATTATAATCTGCTTTATCACTCCCCAAGGTGCCACATCAATTATCGACTTCATCAGTTTAGCTTTAACACTTTATCTTGTTATCACAGCTGTCGGGAAATCTTTGGGTCAGTGGTGCACCTAATTCCGCTAAACGGCTCTCGTTTCAGTACACGCATCTTGTTTTCAATGTAACAAACCATTTACTCTTTTTGTCCCATTCTCATTGGTTGGAGACCTTCGGTTATTTATTTGTAGAGTTATTCATTATGAAAGCTCAATTGTATTCAGTCGAATTTTTCTTGTTTTAAATTTACTTGTCACCGAATGACAACCAGATGTTTGATATTCTAATTTGGAATTCACGCTGTACAAAGGTCAACTGGAGGACGAGAAAAAGAAACGATCAGATTTTGGTACAATTTGGAACATGAAATGGAGAAGGTTACTGTTTATTTTACGGATTTTTTCATCGCCTCTAAGGAATCTCTCACTTTTAGTTTTGGACAGAAAACCTCAGTGGCGTACCCTTATGAGAGTGATGTAGTTGCGCATCCATTTAAACTTTGGTATCTGCAGCACTGAACGATTTTGTGTTTTTTTGTCGGAATGTTCTGTTATATAACTTATTGCGTTTTCGTCTGGCCATTTGAATAAACGAAGAAATAGTACGTCAAACAACCACTATGGAACTTTTCATTCTCCGGTTTTTTCCTCCTTGTTATGCTTTTTTTGACGTTTGAGGGGCAAACGTTATCATTTGCCATGTTAATTGAAGACCCGAGCAACAAGCTAAAAGGTAATCGTAATTTGGCTGCTTTTCTGATGTCGTGCTCAATGTCGCCCTTCATAGTTTAACGTTAGTTGAACGCAAGTTACAGATGGGAAACTAAACACGTTAACTCTCTTTCAACTACGTCGGTTTAAGTCCAGAGTGATTTTCGGTCGACAAACAGCCTGCGACCGTGATTTTCGATCGATTTGTCGCATCTTGGATTATTTGGCTGAAGAGGTCTCGGCTGAGGAAATTGCACAAAATAATTTCTCTACTCCCCTCCCCTGAAATTCTTACCCCTATACCGAGAGTAGTTTTACTTACGCTCTCTCTCTCTCTCTCACGCACCATGGGTCCTTTGACAAGCTTTAAAAAAGATTATAATGTGTGATGAGAGACTTGGTTATCTTTAAACGGCTAAACTCTTTCAACCACCTTGGGGATGAAAGTAAGGGTTATCTAATCATCTCTTTGATCAGATCTGTAGATTTTTGTGTGTTTATTTTTTCCAATTGATTGTAATAGTTTTAGCTCCCCGCTCTCTTTGCTTTTAGTTTTGCAGCATTTTGACTGGCATTAGCACCTCTCATTAAAATAGCAGTCGCGCAATGAGGCGGTCGGCAACACGTTACATGAAACCTTTACTAAGCAGACAGCGTACGATGAATTTGAATTTCATTTCTATCCAATTGCAGTGTAAGATTACGTTTTTCAAACGTTACATGTAGTGATAAAGTGTCATAAGTGTTATTCTATCCACCGGAAATGGCCCCTGAGATTCCAGAAGGTACCCTATAATCAACTCCTACCTGCACTATGCAGACATCGCGGATCGAGTGAACTCTATCGAGAGCCTTGCGGGTGTCCGATTAATCCGCATTGTCTTTATTAGTTAACTATTGTTATGGGTGAACAGGTATCACTTTAGCTCGTTTTTTCTTCAGGCAAGCAGCAGCAAGGGTCATACTAGAACGTGCAAAGTGCGAGTGACTCCCGCTTCGCCCCTGCCTCGCGCACACTTGAATACCCTTAGAATTTTGTGTTAACGACAGCTTCCACATGACGTACGTGTGGAAATCGAGATCTTGCGCTCAAAACTGTTTCAGTGGCCTGGTCATGGTGTTGAATTCCTGGGCAACACACTATACTACCACAGAACCACTTCCCAGTCCTGGGAGAGGTTTGACTTGTTTTTAGTTTAACTTGTGGTAAATAATCGAAGACATTTTTGATTATTTTTAGGTTTGACGGGAGAAGGTATTTCCCTTAGTGTGGACAGTGCAACAAAGGATTTTATTCTAACGTTCGACCTCTTCCTCCGAGGCGAAGTTCGTGTTTCTATTGTGTTAGAACTAGACAACACTGATTCATACACAGTGCATTACACATCCAACAACGCTCTTCTTTCGTCCAACGACAAGGAAGTGTTTTATGGTGTTGGACACTGGAAAGGCTGGAGAAGAATTGTGCGGAATTTGGACACGGATTTAAGAAAAGGAATGAAGTTTCCTGATAAAAAGAATTCTAGAAAGGGTAAAATAGCGTTGACAGAAGTCCAGAGCATTCTACTTCACGGGAAGGGTTCAATTGATAATATCACATTAATGCACTCAGCTCATAAGCACTCATTCATGGCCGCGGCAAACTGGTTCCTGCGTTATCAAAATAACCTTGGCAGCTGGCCAATCACAGTAAAGCGTAAAGTAATCGAAGGCGTCACACTGTTCCCTGACTGGTATTCAGCCATGGGTCAGGGGCAAGGCATGTCTCTGCTGACCAGAGCGTATCTCTACACTAAAGACTTGGCCTACTTAAGGGCTGCTCTCCGAGCTACTAAACCGTTCAAAGTCAAGGCGGTAGACAAAGGAGTTTTAACCACGTTTATGAACCAGTACCGGTGGTACGAGGAATACCCCACGTCGCCTTCAATGCTTGTTTTAAATGGTTTTATATACTCTTTGCTTGGGCTTTACGACTTGAAGCTTACCGCTGGCCCTCAACAAGGTGCAGAAGCAGCAGATTTGTTCGATCAAGGCATGCGCTCTTTAAAAGCAATGCTACCTCTGTATGACAGTGGATCCGGGAGCTTTTATGACCTTCGTCACGTGACCATGCGCATCGCACCAAATTTGGCGCGTTGGGATTATCATACGCTTCATGTTAGTCTGTTGTATGTTTTGGCAAATATCGACCCAGATCCCATTCTCAGGACAACAGCAGCGCGTTGGGAAGGATACACCAAAGGAAAAAGAGCCAAACACAATTGATTTCTTACATGGTAGAGCAGTTTTCAATTGACTGTCGAAATTAAGCCGGGATTGCTTTGGTTTTACTAAACTTTTCTCTGTGATTGGTCCAGAAAACTTACGTCATCCTCGCAACCAATCAGATGCAAAACTAGTAAAACAATCGCGTAATGGTCATTCGCGTTTTCCCGCGCTTCAAGCCGTTTACTTGTTTTCACTGGTAAACCTTTGTTCGGATTGGTCGCTGGGTTTCCTTTGGTTTTGGTTCTTCAACACTCAATGGAATACTGCTCTATTCCCTGTTTTTAATCATTTATTTCTCTTTTTTGATAGACGAATTAAAACAAAATGATGTTAGCGTTTATTTAAGATCATTCAGTGCAAGGTTCCTTACGGCCGATGTTACTAAAAATATTTATTGCATACACTGTCATGTTAGCATTTGTGTTTATTTTGTGTGTGTGTGCGGTGGGGGAGGGGGGGAAACTTACGTTTTCTCTCAAGTTTGGGGTTGCATACCACGCCTTTTGCTTTGACTTACTCCAATTGGCCTCAGTGGGGCGTTCTTACAATTATATAAACCTTAACTCATTGCAACGGGTCAGGGATAGTGTAGAAGGCGACCAGAGTTTTTTTTTTTACAAGACACTAACATCTTAGTAAAAGGATTTTTTTTATTAAAAATAGTCTTGTAAAATAATAATAATAATAATAATAATAATAATAATGATAATAATAATAATAAAAGATTTATACCGCGCCAGTATCCTACTGTTCAAAGGCGCCTACAGAAAACTTTAACATTAACACTTAAGACAGCTAATATTAATTATAATCTGTCGTTGTCTTCTCTGTTCACGTAGAGAGCTATCCCATCCAGCTTCCTACTGTTTTCTTCAATCTCCAGAAAGTAAATTACTTCTCATACGATATCTCACACTGGAATTTTTGAAAATGGAGTGAATATTTTGTGAAAATAGTTTTGAATTAATGTTTTCGAGCAGCACAAACGACTCTCACTCTAAGTTCGAGTTATGGTCGGGTCAGCAAAATTTTTAGACCTATCAAGGTTGTATTTGTATGCTTTTGAATAAGTGTACATAATTGAGATTGGCATTGTAGTATGCTTTACTTTTTTAGAGATACCAAGACAGTGTGACAGACGTATCATCAATTATTACAAAAATTGAAAATATATGAAGCTCTGGACAGGATTGATATTTAAAATGTGGACAAACCTTAATATGGCAATGATGGTTTTTTGGGGAAATATTCAGATTTTAAAACACTAATTAAATAAACTAATTAAATTAACTGATTTTGACGGGAACCTTACTCTGGTTTTTGCAATTGAGCACAAAAAACTTGAATAAAAAGTATAGTTTCAGGTCCCCTGCAGTGCAAGAGTTTATGGCTCCTGACGTATGTCTCCTATTATTATTGGGCAACACACATGATGATGTTTTTAGGTAAAGGAATAATTTTGGGGGTTTACATTGTTGAATTACGTCAATTAACTCTTTGACCCCTGAGAGTGACTAGCATCTAATTTCTCCTTACCCCCTCCCCCCATGTTCCTCATTTCTTTGACCCCTGAGAGTGACTAGCATCTAATTTCTCCTTACCCCCTCCCACCATGTTCCTCAACTTTTTGACCCCTGAGAGTGACTAGCATCTAATTTCTCCTTACAATATCACCCCCCTCCCTGAATCACACAGTATGGTTACGAGAATCAAGGAAATGATCACCAACTAAGGAAGCTCTTCATCGATAAATAATTTCTTCTTGTCGACACGTAAGGAAGTGTACAGAGAACAATATGGAGAATACGCACACTGAAGTTAGGATGTAGATTCACTTCCTTTTGTGCCGGGTTTCACAACTTTAAAAAATGGTTTTCGATTCCGAAGGCTAACGTGATCAATTGAAGTCATCTCTTTCCTTTTTTCGGCCATTTCACTTTGTTGAGAAAAGAATGCAAAATAAATCTGGCGACATGTTCAGTTGCACATTCTGTCACATGACGCTTTTAAATCAGTCGCGCGAACAATTTATTTAGTGGATTACAGTTGGAATAAGGTTTTAGGAAATTGTTAGTAGTACAGATAGAATATCTGCGTAGGAACGCAACGGTGGGAAGAATGGAAGCCACAGGGCCGGTATAATGTGAGACATACCCTTAAACACTATACCCCCGCTTCTCCGATGCTTTTTAAAATTTAAGCTCGGTTACTGCCCTCTCCTGTTTTTTTAGTCAACCCTTTACAATCTAACATCCGTATGCATTTTGTTCATACTATTCTTTTTACATTCCCATAATACTGACAAGCAGAATTTGTTTACCAATCGAGTTTCCTTAGTTTTGGTGATCATTTCCTTTATCCTCGTGACGTTGTGTGATTAAGGGGTGATATTGCAAGGAGAAATTGGTTGCTAATCGCCCATCGGAGTCAAAGATATGATCTCTAGGCTCCCTAAATTTGAAAAGGATTTTATTACAACTCCTTTCGCTTACAAGAACGTTATAAATATCATTTATTTACAAATCGTCAATTTATTTCCTCTCAGAACTATTTTGAAAGCTTGTCGAGACGTTGTAGTCATAACGTGACGTAATACAGACGAGAAAAAAAAACTCGTACAAAATTCGTTTTACCAACAAACTCGTAAACCCTTTCACTGTCACGATATCATTACTAATTCTCCTTACTGTCCGCCATACAACTCTTATGTTACTTCGGAGATTTTGGTATTGGATCAACTAATATTCTCTTAATTGATATTTTTCTTAATTCTCATCACCTGTCTGCTTGATATTATGAGGAGAATATCTGTTTTAATCACTCACGGGAATTGAGCGATTAAATTTCGTCGACAACATAGTGTTGGTCCTTTCTATCGTTCAACGATGGATCTGGTTGCTGGATTACTTTGTCAGAAATACTTTCTCTCGCCCACTATCTTTTCTGTACGCCAATCCAATCCTTGCTACGAAATGAAATTCCTCTTAGGGAACGAATCTCATCAATGTACAACCTTTTTGTTTAAAACTTTTTTGGTTAAATCATCAGTTTTTTTACAGCTCATTAAGGTTTATAACATCATATCAAATTATTTTATTAAACGATGATCGCCTATTGTAAGAAATGAAAAAAAAATTATACCCAAACTCTACAAAACAAAGGGTTTTAAATAAAATATATTTCTTTAAGTTTTCCTTTTATATATCCTTTTACTTTTCTTCACTCTTTTGATCTAGTTTTTGAGTAGGAAAGATATGAAGTTTTACTTCCATGATAGGACGAGTCTTCATCCATTTTTCTAAAGTAACCAAAAAAATGTTTCTTCTTGTGTTAACTATCTCAGAATGAAAATAAAAAAATCACCAATTTTAACGATCCCAACTTAATTTATCCATGTTTTGAAAGAAATAAATAACCATTTTCTCTTATAAAGCGCACCAGATATATAATAAAATTTTAAATATAAACGTCACACTATTTCTTAGCGCAGAAAATTGCTGAACTTCTCTTAATTTTACACAATTTACGAAAAAAATGAAAAAGAAATTTCGAGGCCTTTTTACTTAATTTACTTTTTAGGATTTAACTGTAACGTGACGAACGGTAAATAACAATTTTAATCATCTGATAAGTCAATAGTAACGGGTGGTTTTTTTGAAGGCGACGAATACATCCCAGAACTGTCCAAGCTTTTCTTGACTACATTTTCTAACTGTGAAGGACTTTGCAAATTTCGATGTTCCTTTTTTAAGATGTTCGCGAAAAAATGATCGTTCATTTTGTCGCTTTCAAGTCTTCGACTGTGCGGTCTATAGTACCGCATTAACTCTTCGTGAGCCAACACATGTGGATGATATTTGTTGTGCTGGCTCATTATAAGTTGCTGCTGAAGTTGGTGACGATCGAGATTTGTCGACCCGATCCCAGGAACCGGCAAGGCAGCTACTTCCTCAGGGAAAATACCACGCGCACTATTGCCGTGAAGATGCATAAGATCAGGATGTTGCCACGGATGGTTCCGCCATGTAGTAAGCCCGGGATGTTGAAGATAAGCTTGGTCGAGAGCCGAAAGATTAGCGGCTTGTAAGTTTTGAAGGTGTTGTTGCTCGTGAGGATGAATGTGAAAATGCGTGTGGAGGTGAGAATGCGAGTGTTGCTGAGGTCCGTAATACTGGAGTCCTGTAACAGGATCAGTAGTAAGAACACGTCCAGGGCCCCCCTTAAGGAGGGACTCGTGGTTGCGCGAGTCCAATGCGCTTTGTTCCAGCGCCCTACCCTGGCCCTGAAGATACGAGATTGCAGGGATATGGTGGCCGGATTGCATTTGAGCCGAGCGATAAGGCGCATACCATTGCTCAAACCCTTCCGCAAATTTCGCGGCATTTTCCCTTGAATCTCCAGCGGGGACCACGCCCATTCCAGAGAACATGTGGAAAGGAAGCATTCTGTAGTCCACTCCAACACTTGGAGGTGGAAATCCTGATATATTGATGCCTTGGGATGACATACCCGGTGGCATGTTCGGGGGATACAAGTGATATTGTCCTCCAGCCATGATATTTAGACGTGACGCCTCGTAATGCGAAGTAATAGTAGCTGGAGCGTTGTACGGGGACTGACTGGCGCTGGATCGAACTGGCACTTCTGATGATGATTCATTAGCCTGGAGAACAAAAGAGAGAATTTATCGTTAAGAATGGTTCAGGACATTTTCAATAGATACCTTAGTTGGAAGGAAACGAGAAATGGGATTAAACTTAATTAGGCTTCATGTACTTGTGATTTTGCTTTGAATCGAATCATTTGTTGAACATTTTGATTCCCCGCCATTTCCCGAATGAGGATTTTTGCAAAATGCGCGGTTTGAACAATGCAGTCGAATGATAAGCATGTCCAACCTACTTCATCAATTACATACTTTGCCGCGTTTCCCAATTTGGGTTGGATTGTTTGAGTCTGATTAAGTAACAGGTATTGCGTCCGCTCTGAATGTTGGTCAGAATCGATTACAGTGAGATTTGGCTTGAAACTCATCCCAGGAGTCCATCAAGTAATATGCAAAACCTTGACCTCATATGTACAGAATCAAAGTTCACCGTCATTATTTTTTGTGTATTGTCACGCAGTAAATTCATAACGAATCAAACGTACCTCAGCCTTTGAAGACGATTCCTTAGAAACAGACACTTCTCGAGAACACGTCGTGTCCTTCTTCGGCTTTTCGGAATGCACGAAGACGACGTCGGTACGTGCACAACTTCGTCCTTCCTCACCCGCCATCAGGCGCTTAAATTTGTCAGGCAGTTTAATAGGCTCTGGAGCATCAGCCGGTGAACAAGAGCGGTTACTAGCCACCTCGTCATTATTGTTACTGCTATTGCTGCAAACACTACTGACATCGTGGTCTGGAAGCACACTGTCTCTACCCCCAGTGGTACTGCTGGTGTCACTGACGTTGTCGTTTGCATCTTCGTCAGAATCCTAGGGGAGGGGTAGGAAGAAAAGACTGACCTTTAACTTCACATAGATACATGCCTTGTTAATCAAGTTCGGGGTCAAAATGGAAGAATATCGACCGAGTTCTGTTTAACGGTTTCCATTGACTGAGAAGTGCAAGTTCACGAAAGAAATGAACCCTTTTACTCCCAACATGCCATTAGAAATTCTCCTTACTGTCTGTCTGCCTTACAATTCTTACGATGTGAGTTGGGAGAATTTTGTATCGGATCCACCGATAATCCTCTGATTAATATTTTCCTTTATTCTCATCACTTGTCTGCTTGATATTGTTATTAAGTTGCAAGGAGAAAATCTCTCTGGGTCACTCATGGCTCAACATGCTTAGTAGCTTGATATTGTTATTAAGTTGCAAGGAGAAAATCTCTCTGGGTCACTCATGGCTCAACATGCTTAGTAGCTTGATTTCAGAAATGACCAAGATATCACACCAAATAATTCCTGTTCTGTGGGAATAGAGCATGCGACTCCATGGTGGAGAGACCGCTAGGGTACCCAATCAGAGGACAGAATTTGCTTCTTTTTTTTCCCTCCTCGCGAAGCCAGCCCTGCAACAAATCTTAAAACAGTAGAAAGTATGAATTAACCTGAGTTTGTGTCTTCTTCCGCTTGTCGGTCGTTTGACTTTCCGGTGACTGATCTCGTCGGCGTTTCTTCCCTTTCTTCAGTTTGCCCTAATAATATAAGATCCCAGCTGACTACCGTTGCAAGGATTAACAGCTGTACTCGGTACACTCAAGGTTCGTTCAATGGAAACATTAAAATAACTGAAAATATCATACTTTTTTTTTTTTTTTTTTTTTTTTTTTTTTTGTAGCCACAAGCTAGCTCTCCTTCTTTTCTCAATCCACGAGAGAGCTATCAAGCAGGGTATCTTGCCTTTATTAAGGTGCTTTATCAGCAAACTTGAAATTAAACGAAAACGCCTAAAGAATGTCAGTAACGAGGCACCAAACATCAGTAACCAATGTACCTTCTTCACTTTGTCTTTTCCTCCATTACTGCCTGTACTCGATGTGCTACCGCTGGACGGCGAAGGAACTTTGTTGATCTTCCCTAATCTTCGACTCCCAACGGATGATTCATTATTTGCTCCTGGAAAAAAAATTAAAAGGATATTCTCTTATTGCGAAACTCAGCTACTTTTTTTATTTACATGTAAAAGTTACTGACTAATAACTCCGAAATGCAGTAGAGTAACACCAAGTACCAAAAAAATTATTTCATTTCCTTTTTCCTGACGCTGGAAAATAACATGAAACACAAAAACAAAACTGTTCTGGAAATTCTCGCGCCAGTTTGCTTTCTTCCATTCTTGATTTATCTTTCAATGAATGCTGTATTTTTTTAATTTTTTTTTTTCGGTCGAACTTGCAGATAAATGCGTCAATAGCACAAATGTGTTACCTTCCACAGGGCTTGAAGTCTTGTTACGTCCAGATCGTAATGTTGTTTGGACGGGAGGAATAGCTCTTCTGCTTCGCAAAGCCAACTTTCCATTCACCAAATACCCGTCTTCATCTCGGACCTCCCTTTCCGCTACACCTTTAAACATGTACGGAGGCGGTTCGCGAGTTTCGTCGGTAGCAGGAAGTTTGCCGTATTTCTTGTAGTAGATACGACAATCGTCGCACAAAATAACTTTGTTTTGACTGCCGTGATGCCAGCTGCGAGACTCAGTAGTGTAGCAATGGCGACAGCAGTAAAGGCTGCGAGGAAGTAATAGATACAATTTAGAGACTTGAGAGCACTTGGACAACAGGTATCTCTCGCACGAAAAGTGTGACCTCCACGCGATAGCAAGCGCTGTAAGCGAGAAACACTAACGCAAGAAACTTTCTTCAACTTACCTCAAATCTCTTTCACTGTCATCACTGTCATAATCTTCTTCGCTACAAGAACTAAGATCAACTGCAGCAACAAAATCGAAATAAAGAAAGATGTCAAATATTTTATTTCAAGGTTGAGGGAGACAAAGAAATCTGAGGTTTTGCAGCAAGATTCAATATTCCGATCAAGTTTCCATTTCGAAAACTCCTTCCAGAGCGAGTTCGCATACAAAATCTATGTTAAACAGCGCCTGTATGCGGCTAGGGAACAAAAAGTCGAAAGTTTCCAGATCTATCACTGACAATGACGAGAGAACCTTGGTCTGTTACTCACCAAATTCACTAACAATGCTTTTAGATGATCTTGGAAGTGCTTTGCGTCTAAGCACGTTGTGTCTGCGGCGTCTATGTGGACGAGAACTAAGCGCTGTGGGAGTCTTTTTCCATGTATAGTAATACTCTACAAGTTCTCCCTATAATGAATAAGAAAGATGGTAAGTTTTGAGCTCAGTAAAGAAATAGTAAGATGGTTTTTCGTCTAGTCGCGAGCGCGAGACGAAGAAAGTTCTCCCTGTTGGAAAGAAAAGGATACTTAAAAATGAGAGGAAGATAGCTACAAAATGGTCCAAATAATCGCCGTAAATTGCTCAAAGGAAAATATCTTTACCGTTTCTTTGTGAGATAGCAATTCTTTCTTGATCTTGTAGAAATTCTTCCCATATTGTCTCAGTCCCTTGACAAACTTTTTCTATGACAGCAAATTGTAATTGCAAAATAAGTTAGGAAGTTCATAACAGGGTCAAGTACTTCTGGTGCAGTATATCACTGTCTAATATGCAAAATACAGGGGTTAAAAGGCATGCAACACTGTTTATCCGAACAGTTCAGTTACAATCATTCTTTTTGCTTCCCTCTCGATCGTTTGCTACCCTCACAGCTTTACATTAAAATAAAAAAACAAACATTACTTTATCTTGAACTTACAGAGTAGATAGGTAGCTAATATAATCGAGAACATTTAAATAAATTGGAAATAAACATTGTAAAGAGACATAGTGTTCGAAAACCGTAACTGGCAGCAGGCAGACCAGTTGGCTACATACAAAATGTAGCCAAGGCGTTGAACTAAGGGCAACTGAGAACAAATCCACCAAGTATCATGGTGCATGCAGGGAATGAGCCTAGGATGACCAGATTACAAGGCCTACAGCCCGACCACTTGACCACGATGCTTCCGTTTCCTTCCGCTTTTGCTTTCCGCGAGTAAAGCATCAGTTATAGAGAAGCAAGTTCTCCTTAGGCACACCTCTCTATCATGATTGCACTACTCTTACCACTCACCGTCTCATCTTCAGACCACCTCTTTTCCAGTTGTTTGGGGTAAGGTTTCTTCACCAGTGCTTGGAGGGCTTTGGCTGCATCATAATTGTTCTGATGGAGCTAAAACAAAAAACACAACAAATGTAAAACATAAAAACCCTCAAAAACACTGAAGGAATTTCTAGAATCACACTTATCACTAACATATGTACAGTAGTGTGTTTATTTTAGGAAAATGATAGGCGTTAACAGTGTGTCAGTAAAATGACAGGTGAAAATCCTCAAGATTGCTTTAGGCAAATCCTACATTTTTACACATCAGGAAATGCATAATGAAGCATATGAAGAATACCCATGTTGTGGTGTAAAGTGTTGATCAACATCTTGTTTGTGTTCATACACTAAAAACTATACAACCTACCACATCAAGGGCATTACTGGTGGTTGCATCCTGAGACACAGCACTGTACCCATCCTCTGGCGAGCCACCATTACACATGCCTGCATACTGCGCCATGCTCCTGTAGTGACACATAACAATCCATCACAGATTAACAGGGTTTTATCAAGAAGATACACTGTAAATTACAAAGACAATGCTGAAAAGTAGACAGTGGACGGTATTAAGTTTCACAGCTGGTCTGTATGAATTAATTGAATGCTTCTGGAGTTGATTTGTGAAACAGCCAGGAAAATCCTCCAAAGTAAATGGCAAAGTTTACCATCAAAGGGCCCTTAAATGAAAGCTTGTGTGTTACAATGAGTGATTATAACTTGATCAGCTCACCTAGCAGCACGCAGAAACATCATCAATTCATAATCATCAAGAGTTGGATTCCATACCTTGTGACAAAAAGCACAACATCTTTTAGTTTATAATGTCTGTGTTTAACCACACTCTATCTATACACCTTAAAAAACCCACAAGACTTCAAGTCAACACTTACCAGCTCCTCTATTGGATCCTCCCTGTCCATAAATCCATTCACAGGAAAGGGACAGCATTCTGGCAAGGTTGCCTGGAAAAAAATTAAACAAGCTAGACCTTAAAACTTTTCCTTCAATGCAGCACAAACTGTTCTCAAAACATAACAAGTCCTTTTGCAAACTAATTACAGTCAAAACATCAAACTGACAAGATCCTTAATGTGAAGAAAGAGTAAATGTTTACTACACCCAGAGATACTGCCCTCTCACAATCTGAGATCTTACGATGTTTGCCAGTTTCTCTGCCCCACCCCACCCCCATTCCTCAATCTGTTGATTGACCACTACATGTACCCCCTGGTTTCCTCCCGTAAACTGAAAAGATGCAAACATGGACACACTTAATCCAGAAGAAAAAAGAATCACAATCCACTGTTGAACAGAAAACCAAACCATTTTTTCATTAGCTACAACTTAACATGATTTCTCCTTCTATATTTCCACAATATTTAACTAGCCGTTGTAAAGAACAGGAAGTGTATTTGTCTGTATGCAAAAAATCCATGGATAATACAAGAGAATTGGAATTCCTGTTTACCTGATGGCTGACTCCAACTCTAATTTCCCCTTTGGTGTTTGCCAACCTCCTGGAAAGACAATATAATGTATATGTTTTAATTTTCTCTCAAATCCACAATACTAAAAGCTGTAACTTTTAAACTCAAACCAGACAGGAACCAAACAGAATTTGATGTGCTTAATAACAAAATAAAAAAACAATACCTTGTCTCTGGGTTGTAACCAAGCACATAGAAAAAGCAATCTTCTTTATCAATGTATCCTTTCACAGAGTCTGTAATCTCCACAAATGGTCTCACCTTGCACTTTCCCCTTAAGAAATGCAAGATATATTGTTTAATTAGAGAATTTCACATGTAGTAACAGGGGTTTCATCATGGGCTGGGCACCGGGCAAATTGACTGGTTGTGAAGATGGTTTGCCTCACTGGTTTGACGATCTGGAGGAAAGTTTATCTTATAAAGATGTACAGTTCAATAAGTTTTGCCCCCTGTCAAAACCAGTCGCCCTCCTACTGAAAACATTAATAAAACCCCCGAGAAAGCCATACCACTAACACTTCAATCCATTGACCTCTAATAGTGAGGTATATACCACAGGTAGAAACTCACTGTAAATTGTTGTCTGTTGCAGACGAAAAAAAAGCTTTTTTGATTTCTAACCTGAGGGCAGATGCAGGATAGACATCTGTTGCATCAGAAATAAACAATTCCCGCTCCTTGACAGCAACATCCTCAAGAATGTTATCACCTGAACCTAAAAATAACAATTCCGTTGTTAGATAGAGTGCAGGCACTGCTGGCAGGAAATACTGAAGTACATGACATTCTTGACTGGTTGTCACCTTGTACCTGCCAGCTGGAACTCTGACATTTGGTCTTAGCATATGCACTGCTAGCACAGTTAAACTATAAAATTAATCATCAGTTTAACTGACACTACCTTTTTCACTGACTCTGAAAAGAGAAATTCTCTTAAATAGACAATTGATAGACATTAGAAAACCTCCATCTTCTCTAATTATCTTGAATAAAACAGCCATGGTTTGTGACTTTGAAGCCACACAGAAAGAGTTTAAAAAAAATTACAAAAACAAACATACCATTTTCAGCATTCCTATCCTGAATTAATAGTTGGTATACTGATTCAGGAACCTCTGAAGGTCGGTAATACCATCTGACTACAACTACCAAAGAGTCCCTTTTGCTCTGCAAGAATTAATATTTATTTAAACATAAATTGTTGGACTTTCTCAGTTATTACCCATCATTTTAAGAAACCAGTGTGTACTGAACTCTCTTTCAAAAGACTGGGCAACATTATTTAAAAAACAGTAAACTACTTGCGTTGTGGTTTCATTTCGATATTTCAATTGTTTTTTCTCCTATTTTATAACTTTTTTCACAGGTTATCAAGGTCACAAATAAAAGATGGTACAATCTAAAATAATGAAAAAAATTGAAAGTTTATTGAACTTTTGCACGTACAAATTCATTTGAATAAGGACCCTTTTTTCAAGAAATACTTGAAAACTCATCATTATCTACAATTTTCTAATATAAAAATTAGACTGCACATTGAAAAAAAAACAAAAAAACTGAAAGAAACAACTCTAAAAACTTCTGCAAATTGGAGAAGGAATTCTTATAAACAGTACTTTAAAAAGGTTTTATAAATGCCCTGTCTTTTCTTTAAAGGATATTAATGTGATATGACATTGTTCACCTGATATTTTAAAAGAGTTTGATGATTTTTTAATTTACCATTTCTCAACCAAATTTTCATTTGTTACAGAACGGCTCAAACGTAGAGGAGATAATCTAAGGAATTTCAAAGCGTTACAAAAATGTAAATTCTGACCCAACAGCTTCCTTTGCCACCAAGTTTTCACATGCAAAGCATTTGTTTTGTAACATTTGGTTAACCATAAACAAAATATCAAAGCAACTTATATCATGAAGAAAAAACAGCAACATTTAAATAAACTCAAGATGTTCCATCAAAAAGTTCCAATAAAATAGTCACAAATTTGAAAATAGTTTTTAAAAATTCTATTAGTTTTTAGATTAAAAGCCACAAGAAAGAGCCTTCAAATCATAACATTAGCAATTAAAATTACTCATAACGTCTGAACAAAGCGATTGAAACAGCTGTTGACTGTGTGCGATAAAGAACATCACACAACCTTTTTCTGTTCACACAAAAATCGCATTGTACCAATATTGTGTGCACAAGTCTCGTAGAAAGAAGAGCGACGCAAAAGATGTAGGATTCGTTAAGGAATATTTAAAACTTAAAAAAATTGTCAACAGTTTTTATTAGAAAAGAAAGGATTCTTTTCAGATGCAAAATATAATAATGATGAATAGTTACCGAATGCCGTACAAATAGTCAGGAAGAAACAAAACGAAACAAAAACGTTTGATCGTTTGCAAATATCAAAATAAACCATTTGGAGTCGAAATCATCAATTAGAAAGTTGCAACTTGCGAAAATTGGAAAATAAAGTTTGAAACTAAATGTAGGTGAATTTTATCGTCGTTTTGGAATAAAGAGTAAATCTTCATATTGTTTAAATACTACGCCAAAACAATATAAATATCAAACATTAAGGTGTCAAACGAGGCGGGTAGGAAGGAAAAGTAAAATCGGCCACCAGAAACTACTAGCAAAAGGCTTAATTTATACATCGACAGGAAAACCAAACCAAAACAAAAACAGTTTCGAACAAAAACTTACCATTCGAAACTCTTTGATGGCACAAATAAAATATGCGACGTCCGGTCGTTGGCTGTCGATGTAAACACAGTCTACAAAGGAAGAAAAAGATGAGAAACCAAGCGAGTTAAGCTCTTCGGTTGAAATCCTTGCGGTAAGAGAGCGCGTGTTTATTTTGATGTTGTGTGCTATTAATTTCGAAATGTTTTCTGAGCCAGATCACGATTTTACATAACCAGTTCTGAATTTCAAAGAAAGGTTTTATTGGAGATATAATTTCCTAATGACCCCTCGAATTACTACCTGTTATAGCACACGAAAAAGTGCTTTATTCATGATCATTTTCACCACAAAGGTAAACATATCGAATGCAAATTTACGATTTATACGATCCACAGGGCACATTGTTTAGCGGATAACACATTGTTCACCGGAGACCGCAACATCTATATGAACAAAAAAGAACGCACACACGAAGCAAGAGCGCGCCACGTTTGTTTTCAAAATTCAATGCGAACAGTATTCATGTTTTACGAATTCACCTTTCAGCTCGACGGGTGATCCGAGCGTTTCAACGGCCGATGTTATTTTTCTTTTCCTTTTCTCTTTCGTGTGTGATATTAATTACAAGTAATTATTCTAATAGTACAAACAATTCATATCGTTTTGAAATCGAACGATGTTTGACATTCGGAAAATTTAACTAAGCTTTTGAACCCTACTTACCTCCAGGTTCATAATAAATATCTTCTTCTGAGGTGTAAGTCAACTTAGAAGGTTGTGTGTTATCATTTTTCTTGTCACCACTTGCCGATCTGCCGGTGTGCTTCCTTCCTTTTGCCTCGCCTCCCTTGTCGTCTTGAGACGGCGAATTCCGAGTCGAATTGGTCACACTTTTGCACTCTGAAGTATTTTCACTTTTACCCCCCATGCCGCGATTTGCTTGTAGTTGGGTCCTCGATGTGAAGTGATTTCCCTGCCTCAAAGGAAACTTATTGCCCTCGATCAAGAACGTACACAAGCTTCGTTAGCGACAAAAACCGCTTAACTGTCGCGGTTTCTTCTCTGACAGTGTGGTGCCGAAGGTATTCGTGCCGAACCTGAAAAGGAACAGGAAGAGAAAATGTACTTGAAAAATCTTTGCCCCTGCGCTGAAGGTTCCTTTCAACACCTCTCCACCAACACCTTGCAATGTAATTCTCAATGTATTCATACAATTAACCCTCACAATAGACACGTTCTCGCGACAGGAAATCTTAAACCGGTCCAATCCTATTTCTGTTTGCCTTTACCCAAGTTTCTGGTCAGTTCCAACATCTTTAGAAGACTGATCGACCTCTGCTAAATTTTGAACGTTTGTAGAGTCACGAATGTCGAGCACCTTGCGGTTTCCGCTTGAATAAATTCTGTGTAATATGAATGACACCAAAGAAACCACATCAGAAAGCAATTGACGGCTAGCACTGTGGAAAATTTCGGTTGCGAACTGAGCTGACGATGAAAACGAAACCAAAGAGAATTTGCACTACTGTGCTACAGATTAACCATACTACATAGCGATAAGAGCATCACAGAATCTTTCCTATCGTGAAAGTCGACGAGTCGGTGACACATCTGAAATCTATTGTTTTAAGATGATTATGGAGACAACGACCCACACGGGAAAATTCACCGCCTTCAAATCGAACAATTTTCCACCCGAACCTGCACAAGTCAAAACTCGATGGCTTTAAAATAAAACGACTGTTCAATAACAAATTTTTTTCTTTTCTTTCGCTTCCACCCTGGAACGTAACTTTTTTTTTCAAAATAGCAAAGTAAACATGCAAACCATGGGATTTATTCCCCTGTCCGTGTTTGAAAAACCTACAAAAACATTAACAAACAAGCGAATACCGTCCGCCCACCAAAGCTGCCGTTAACTAGCTGCAAAACGAACGGTTGTCGAATTCAAGGACAAAATTCGGATATAATAGCCATGTTCTGCTTTACATGTGTTGTAAATATAATATATTATTAACATGAGAGATGTGTGCGATTATTGTCTCAACAACGATTACTCTTCAAACCGTTGAAACGTCTTGTTGTCTACGCGAGTGAGCTCGCCGTTAAAACGCAAAATAAAGAGGAACAAAAATACGAACACACATACAAATATTTTCGAAGGAATATCTTACCTTTAAAATACGACAACCATTTGACTATTTAAATCGAGATGAACATAAATTTGCAGAGTCAAATCAGGCGATTTCAAAGCGAGAGATGCACACACGCTTTCAACAAGAAACAGATCACCTCCAACAAGAGCGACGACGACATAAATCTTGTTTAAAATCTCCGCGAGTAGCCCAGCAAATGCTTACCCCTGGCCGAGAAAATACTCTTCCCGTCAGTTGAATGCATAAACCGCACAATTTGGCTGTTTAGATGAGCAAAGAAGACAAGGGAGAAGTGAACAAACCTTGAACAGATGGTTTCTTTGTGGATCGTGATTGGCGAAATCAGCATGAGGCGAAACAAGACGCGTTGTGATTGGCTGAAGTATTCTTAAATGCGTGAACCCTGTCATATCACCTGCGAGCTTATTTTGATTGAGGAGTTAAGTACATGTCAAACCTATTTCAACTACTTACATTTCTAATCCTAGCGTTAAACTCCTCAAATACAAATCAAGCCTTCCGAAATGCACCTTCTTCGCAGTAAGTAATTTTTTACCAATCTGATGCTCTGGAACTGTGATCTTTCCCCAGGGTGTAATGCAGATCATTTTTTATTGCAAGTGAAATATTGAATACCACGAAACGAATAATGGTCTTGCTGACAACGATCACAGGCTCATTTTGTAAACACTTTTTCTTTCCTGTCAATCAAGCATTCACACTTCAAATCGTCGCCTTTCCAATAATTCGACGCTGAAAAGTAAATTTGCAGTTCGCAAGTCGTTTGCACTCAGAAAAAACCTGGGTCAGTCACAATCTCGCTGAGGGTAAGCGTTTTAAAATATCGACATTCGAGGCCTTGATGAGCGAAGCAGCTCAAAAATAATACATTACAGCTTTTGCGAAGTTCAACAACATTATTATAATTCATTTTTGTTATTGTTATACAAAATCTCGAATAGCAGAGACAATCGGAACGGATATCCAGAACAGCTTTAGGCAATCACAGTGGGGAAACATTTTAAAAACACATTTGACATAGGAAAAATATAGTACTGTAACTTCGAAAGGTGACCTTCAAGCTCTCCCTAAACCAAACATCATGGAGAGTTTAAAATAACCAAAACCTTAATAAATACGATTCACTCCACTCGTAATAGTTTCTGACTTAAGGACTCGACGTGATGTCGCTCAGTAGGGGGTGTTTAAAACATTTCCAGTCAATTCTTCAAGGCGTAACCGTATACGCAAATATAAACTAGATTTTGCTATTTTCGGACACAGCGTTCTCAGTCATTTAAAGCATTTTTTTTTTGTTTTGTTCAAATCGTCTGAACAGTAACAGGATAAAAAAATCCGGTGAAGAGAGGACTTCTTTGTTGATGTGTTATAGAGTTGTCTGTCTCATTTCGCTGACCCGGCGACTGCAAAACATGGAATTTGACAGACTTTCGAAAGAGAGCAAATATACTTCATTGGCACAAGCTGCATTAATTCAAAAACACTTTAAGAGTTTAACTTTCTAATAATCTGAATTAATTATTAGAAATATAAAAAAGAACGAGCGCAATGATCGATGAATATTTCCAAAATACTATTGTTGTTTCAATATCTTAAAATATCTTCTGACCAATTAATCTCTCAATATTGACGTGATGTGAGTTTGAGAGCAGATATGAATAATGCAACTGGAAAAAGCGATTCAAATATAAAGAGTGAAAGAGCAATTTCGAGAAAAACGTTTTTAAACCTTTCTTACGAATTTTCTTAAACAATAACAAAATTTGGAGATGCGTGATAATTCAAAATGTTTTGGTAGATGTCGATCTTGCGTGGCTGTTCATGAAATTGACATGAAATAAACACTATTCCAGTTGAAAACATCAAGAGAGAGATATAGCTGCATTTTTTATGGTTTGATACACTTCCCCCGGTAAATTTTCTAGTAAAAATTATAGGAGGAATAATCAGGCTTTCTTCCTGCGTTACTAGAAAAATAACAATCAGTGCAGTTTACGTAGTTCCTGCTTAATGTGATATTCCACCGATACTTGCGGTTTAGCCAAACGTGTCATCATTGTTTTAAAAGCAGATATGCGAAAAGATCCCAGATACTTGAGTGAAGAACAAAAAAACAACACAACTGGCTTTCCATCGGTAAAAGGTTGCCGTTACAATTCATATTTATGCGTCCGTGCCCCAAAATAACGATTTAAAACTGTAGCAAGTGAAATGTCTGTTTGAAGTCATTGTGAATTGCTGTAATACCCTAATAAGATCGCCTAGTTTATAAACGCCAGATGACGCGTCGACCACAATATCTGATTAAAAGATAAGTACAAATTCACCTTTTCCTTCAAACCAATACTCCTCTTTAGTGATTCGCACAGTTAAATATCTGAATTCCGTGCTTTTGCAATGTAGGATCCTTTAGGTTCCTTTAGCAGGTCTAAATGCAATTATTACTAATTACAAAATCATTTAGAAGAATATAAACGCAAGCAAAACAGACACATGAATACATTACAAACATGCCGGCTTAATTCCTCTAATTAAACATTCATCAAAATCCATCCGAATGTATGGTGGTTTTGTCGTGAGCTCAGAGGTCGAGCCTTGACAAAAAGATGTTAAAACAAAAATGCTAACAGCTAGGAAGAATACATTCATCATGCCGTTCAACTGAGAACACTTTGAAATTCGATGCCGATATGTAATCTTCGACAGCGCACAACATGCTCGCAATAGTAGCGGTAGTTCCGTTTCTAAATTACCTTTGATAGTCCATTCACTCGCATGTTTTCCGAAGGAAAACTTCCCAAAATCTGTGTTGGCTTGAAAAGACCTAAAAAGCTCTCGTTCTAAAACGTTTCTAGTTCCTTTGGCTAGCGAAGATATTGCTGGAGACAAAAATTTAAAGGCGATTTCAACAGACATTCGTTGTGGCCTTCGACGCCACCGCACTGATCCGCAGCTCCAAAGATGCCGCTTTCACTTGTGTCCGAATTCACGCCACAAAAACAGGATAAACACAGCTTATAATCTTAATTATAAAAGCACGAGAAATGTAATATAGTTAATCTTACCTTTCGAGAAAGAGGTAGCAGTTTCGAAACAGTCGTCGTTGAGAGCAAAATATCTTGGTGTTTATCACCTGAGATCTGAAATAGAATTCTCGATATCACACATTTGCCTACTTAAATTGTCCCCTTGGGAGACGTTATTCATGTTTTAGCTAATCACAACCGGAAGTGGTCACAACAGCGCAATGTCGACATCGCCACGGACCCTACTTCTTGTTGTCTGAGCCCTATTCCTGACCTCAAGGACGTGCATTTGACTGCAACTGTAGTCTGTATTGAATTTGCTCAGTTTCATTAAAACGATAAATTTAAAACAAATTCGAAAAGTTATCATCCGTAGCGCACGCGGTTAGCAAACACAATAAACAATGAAATTGACATCACAAAGGCGACACTGAAGATTTCAAGTTTGTATTGCACCTATGGCTCAAAGGTAAAGTACACTTTTGATGATATTTTCTCGTCGAGATTTTAAGAATCGTATCGCTACTAAGTCCATGACTTTGGACGTCGCTTGGTGCGATTCGTTTTGCGTTTTTTTTTAGAGGAAAATGCAGGCCTTCAGAAAATGGGTCCATAGTTTTTCTTTGTTTTCCTTGACAGCTGCTGTTTTGCCGGGTAGAATAACTGATCAAGTTGATTTTCAAAATCAAATAAGAAACTATTACGTATTGTGAACGGCTTATTTGGAAGTCTTAGATACGTTTATTGGATAAGGATTCGAAAAGCGGAACCTTATGACCGCCGGGTACTTTTTTCTCACTCTTTGCAGCGAAGCATGCGCGATACCAATCGATTTTGTTTGCTTTGAATAGGAAGATAACTTTAATTTGCGCTTTTACTAATTTCAGCTGGGGAAATACTTCACTGTGCCAAAGAAAAAAATTCCGCGTTTCATTTACGGCCAATATTCCTGTATAAACACACAGTTAACACGCATCTAATGTATGTCGGATCACATGGCCGTGGTAAGTTTTAGCTGTTCTTTATTTTGATCTTTTATTCATGTGCGCACACGCGTTAAATTAGTTTTGTTTGTGGAACAAATGTTCTTTGAATGAATTGTTCGATGTGTGTATACAGACCCTTTTTCACACACGATAAAAAGTAATGTTGATATAGATCGCTGTTGAAAATCTCTCCACTGAGAAAACAGTTTGCTGAAAGTGCAACACTTAAAGCTATGTATGTTTTTAATTTCGCGAGAGAACGTTCGATTCGGTAGCGATTTTATTATTCGATTTTCTTCCCCGTATTTGTTTGATTTTTTTTGTTGTTGGTATCGTACCGACTTCTAGAGCGGTATTATTGGCTTAGTATCACAGATGACATCCAGCAACAAGAAACCACAGATAAACCAAAGTCACGAAGAGAACATAAAACAATTTCCTGAATTTCAGCACAAGTGCAGTTGTGCGTGCTGAGAGGACGACATGGAAGGACCTATGAATCTCTTTGGGGGATCTGCAAATACAGTGTTATGGTACCTTATTTTTAGCATAGATCCAGGACTCGGTTTCATGGTTACGGGCTCTTTTAGTGGAATAAATATTTTTGTCTTAAAGTAATATATTGTCAAGAGATCCGGAAATCCGCTTAGGATTTAAACCCAAGGGTTCTCTTTTCCGAAATACCGACCATATCCTTGGACAAAACAGGCGACGAAACATAACATACCTCTGTTTCATCAGTTTTTGCTTATCACAGGCCAGATCGTGTATTTGAAACACACCGCAGCTACGACAAAACCCACCCAAGAAATTGTTACAAACATCTGAAAACGATGAAATCTAACAACAGAGCGGCAATTTCTGCAATAAGCAGATCCAAAGGTCGTCTCTGAATTCGCAGTGACATCAGGTAGTTCCAAGTATTGTTACAAGAACCCTATGAATTATGTACAATATATCTGACCACAGGCATGTTTCACGGGAACAATTATCTTTCGTCGCAGCTGTCAGAAAATTATACAACACGATTTGATATCTGTCATCGATTGATAACATGATGGGTCTTGTCTAATGCGGAGTGTAGCACGCGACCTCTGTCATGCAATTATAACGAGCGTTACATGGCAAATACCATTTAACCAACCAACGCCTGTAAGTCTAATTGAATTAAATAAAGCCGTGAAGATACAGTAAATTAGAGTTTAAGGCTCGTTATCATCTTCTCGACCTGGACGTTCGTGTCATATTTTAATTTTCGCTCGGTGAATGTTAGCATAAGGGTGGCCAAGAGGCCATCTTTACAAGACGCAAAGTCATCCGTGTTTCCGCCACCCCCCGTTAAGAAAGAGGGAAAAAAAGTCGGAGTCCAAATTCCGCTGAAATGGAACGGAATAAAATTGAAGCCTTAAACGCCGAAGATTTTGCAAATGCAATTTCTTTCTTTTGTCAAACGAATACAGTTTAACAACAAAGGTAAACACAGAAACTTACCACTCCTCACTGAGAAAATTTGCCATATGGCACTTTCCAGACAAACTTCTTCGTAACAAGGGTAAAGATTGTAAACCAGGGTGAATTTCAAGTAATAATAGGAATATCCCAGTCCCCACCTCAAGGGATCCGAGCGCACATAACATTTAGAATATGCCGTCACGTTTCCGTTTTTACCATGAAATAGCCTTGGTTAACCCTTGTTCCTCTTGAAATGCGAGACTGTTTTGCTCAAAGGGGCGGAAAGAAAGCTGATAATTCTATGGCCTCTCTCAGATTTAAGTCGCATCAAGTCTGATCATTGTCTTTAAGTTTGGTTGCCAAAACTACCGGACTATCAGCATAAACAGTTGTTCGCGGTGATCAATATTATTCAATCAGATGCTAAACGCTTTATACTGAACGCTTTATCCTTGAAAGTATAATACTCATCAGGATTAAAAATATAACCAATACGACAGAAATAGCACGTTCTTACCAGGTTTTTACACGTACGCGCGCGAAGTCACGCATGTCGCGCGAGGAGGCGATAAGTCATGGAGCGTTTTTACTCAATCTGTTGTAGTCTCAGCTCTTGCAGTATTATCAACTTTTCATTTTCTTCATTCATGATGAAATCAGATAGGAATGTAAATAAAATGTAAATATTCAAGCTTGCGTGTAATAAGCTCGTTAGGAGAGTAAAATTACTTTTAATTGGAACAAATCTAGATGATTCTGGATTGGTTGGGAAAACATATACGATTACCACGGGGACTTAGACGCCTTATGAAATTTAGGACATCAGTTTTAGTAAAATACAGCAGGTCTCAGATGTGCTTAGTAGTAGTATTAGTAACTACTTCTGTATACTTCTGTATCTTGGTGGGTATACGTGCGTGACCAAAGAGGTCTACAAGCCTCTGGACTTGAACAATAAGTTGATAGGCAAACAATTCAAAAAACTTATTACAAAAGGGTAAACGGAAACGCGATTGAAACTATTAATGAGTATTCTTTTCCTCCATAGTTCAAATGACGGCATTCTGATAAAAAATTACTGTGTTAACGGCCAAAACATGGTCTTTATCAGTTGGTTTACAGACTCGGGTAATACATCGTTGATGTGTCGAACACAGAATTTGTAAAATACGGTTGACCTCCCAGTTAGTCTATTGTCCTCTGGAATATGTCAGCCTTGTCCGCATTTTCAGCTGTGCTACGCGAAAATCGAACCTTCCGACCCAAATGGCTTCATGTGATGACAAAAGGTGCAGTTTTAACAAAAAGGACGTTAGTTTCTTCAGGAATGTAGCCATATCTATTCCGATACATGCGCTGTTTGACCTGCAATAATGACCTCAATATTATGTATTTACACAAAAGTGATCGGTAATCTCAAAAATCTCGAATCCTCTTTAAATCTGTTCTTCAAAGATGCGTCGCGGCGACACAGACGAAAACACCAAGTCTCAACACAAATCCGCCCCCATTACGTCACAGATTTCCTTGGACGAAACAGAACTTACAAATAATGTTGCTAATTTTGCCCGCTTGTACATAATTCTCGTATCCAACATTCTTTCCTATTCTGTAACATAAACTTGAGGCTAATCTACCGCGAATCTTTAGTAATCATATGACCTAGACTGTCGACCTCTTGAAAGATTATGATTGAAACTAATGACGACTTTACTTGCATTCCATCAAATTGAAAAGGGTCTTAGGCTTATGCTTCTCGACTCTGGAATTCTAAACAGTGCATTAAACTCATTTCGGAATCGTCCACTTTGTTCCAAGTTCAAAAGAAACCGCTAGGAAAAGGTATTTTGAACAGGCGAATAAGTGGCAAAGAAACGAGAGAATAAAACTGTTTGTTTTCACAAGCCATCTTGTTCCTTTGTGTAAAAGATTAGCGATGCAATCATGGCTCTTAATCAATATTACATGCAACACCTAAAGAAGATATCAAACCCCTTACACGCGCAGGGTTGTAAGAACCCTGTTAATGCAGTGTACGAGAAGTTCTCTTTACCATTGTAACCCCGCTATTAACACAGTTTCTCACCTTATCAGACCTGAAAACGACGAGCAAAGCTCTTGGCTGGCAGTGATCTGCTACTTGAGCCGTGTAATGTGGATATGAGTGTCTTCACTGTACTACAAGAATGGCAGTTGTCATAGGGGTCAAATGATATTAGTGAGTGTCTGTCATACGGGAACAATTGATTCAGCACTTTATAAACCCCTCAGGGCTTAACATTATTATACACAACACGCAAAACTTTAGTATTATTTTGATCCAGTGTTTCAGCGAGTTTTAAATTCCACGTAAAATGTAGGGGTTAGAAGTGAAGTCTTGGTAAGGATGTCGTGACTAAATCAATCTTGAAATCAATGGTATTTGGTAATTAAGTTTTGAAGAGTTGATCTATGTAAACATAAGTAAATGATGATGAATTTTATCACGTTTCCCACAGGAATGCGTGTTTATTCAGCGTTACACACGACATTAATGAACCGTAAACTTTTAATGAAAGCCTGCTAAGTAAATTCCTAGTAACAGAAGAAAATTTGGTGTGGAACAGAGCATACTGTTTGCAGAGTTTCCTGCTAAAGACTACTTCAATTATCAAATTTGCAGGGTGTAAAAGACATTGAGTCTGATATTGTATCACATGACATTCGTTTGTCAACAGAGGGCAAAAGGTGTAAAACGCTGGAAAAATAGCGACCTTTAATTTTAACAGTGACTTAAATCTCACAAGATGTTCAAAGTCATACATCCAAAATTAACTCCGAAGAGCTACAAATCGAAGCTTGTGATAAAGTTTTGCATGGGCAAGTACTGCCTTGCTTAATTTAGCAATGCTGTCAGCCACTCGGAGAGATAACAGAGCGACTGCAGACAAAACATCTTGAAAAGTATCTACGTCTTCTTCGGCTATGGGCGTGCCGGAGATGCCTGAGCCTGTCAATCATTCTGTTTCGATCGTTTCCTGTATCCTAGCAAGCAAATGTGGGATTAAGCGAAAAGAAATCTTGACGCAAATGATATTGATCAAGCTAGTTCGAACCATGAAACTCAAAAGAGCTTCGTCACTTGTTTCAATATCTCGCAAATTTAGCCTTAAACTTTTCAAGACTGACATCTGCAACCTATCTCAATATTCTTCAATTTTATCCATGCGTGTTTCGCTTTGTTTTACATCTAATTCTAGAGGGTTTACCCACCGTAGCAAGCTATCATTTAAAAAGTGTATTCTAATATGACGCAGTTTTCTACCTCATCAAAATGACCTGACGACCCAAATTACTTGTGACGAAGCAGTTTCTAAGTTTCAGTTCCGGTCTGGACCCATCACAAACTCTCCCAGGGAAGCGGCGAAGGGAGGAGAGGGGGTTATTCCCCCGGCGAAAAGAGCCCATTAAGTAATGGGCTCCTGGATAAACACGTAATCCACAAAAAGCTCCCTAGGATTAGAAGGAGGACTCCTAAAAATCCCCTGAATAATTGCTTACTTAAAATCATGACATCAGACGGATAAGTGTCCTGGTACCGATGGTGTGCTGACCGCGGCAGATCTTAACTGAGTAATCTAGATTATTAATTACCTTGCACTGATCTGATCACTCATGTAAGGTCAGTCCCACATGAACAACAATCCTTGTCAGATCTAAGTTTTCCAATTAAAGCCATTCGTGATTTTCACTCGGGTTGAAGTCGCATCGAGAACTTTGAATATGACGATATAAAAAGACAGCTCGTGAAGTTACGAGCCAAAATGAAATTTGTGATACAGGTTGACAGAGGAGAGTACATGTACATCAATTCTTTATTTGCGCACCGCAACAGCAAATAACATATTCTCAAAATAACTATGGTGAAGGAAAACACGTGGTCACGTGTCAGAGATTTATTTAGGATCCGATTAGTCCCAAGGCACGACAAATGGTAAATCTCAGATGAAAAGTTTCTGTTATATCAAAATCGCTGTTAAAATGGACAATTTCAGTGATAAAACGTGAACTCCATGTCATATTGTTCAGTTGTCACTAGAATATATGGAGGGTACTAAAGCAGTCAGGACGGCAACGCCGAGTTAAACTTTTTAAAAGTGAATTCATACTTTTATTTGGAACTTCGCAAATGCAAATGGCTAGAGGCGTTAGCCTTCTCCTATGCGGCGCCACGCTCAACTTTAGCAAAACGTGTGTTGGCGGTGTTAAGTTCCCAATATAAACTTAGGTCTCCGTACTCAGACAACGCAAATATTCGTGATTTTTTTTTTGTAGAGGACTGCAAAGAAATGTTCAAAGTTTCAAAACGCACGTGCTAAGCAGCTATTGTTTTGCCCAGAAGGCCTCCCTGGTTGACATCGCCCTAGGTGATGCTAAGGCAGTTAAAAACGTCATTCACGGAATGTAAATGACCAAAATGTATTTCGACAAGAAGACTTTAAATTACTTTTAAGAGTGAAATCAATAGAGCTAATTGGAAGGAAGGTCTCTTTAAGTGGCTCGTATGTTAAAGGAAGAAAAAAGTTCAATTGATATCTGCGCGTGCGCGTGAAAAGTTTGGAAATTGGAACACAAATATCTTAGGTAGTATCATTGCCTCAAGATTTCATGGTGTGAAATTGCTCTATATTTTTACACGCTGTCTTAATCTGATATGTCTACCAGGCCCGCAAAAATAGAAATATATCATTTTAAAAAAATATTTAAACATCATCCAAGTCACGCGAGAATCAAAGCAATCACTGACGTAATTAATCATACGATGTTTTGACCCGCGCTCAGGCTCGAGTCGACCGGCATCACAAACCGACGAAACCATTAAGGTTATACTTTATCAGACTTCCGGCTGGGGGAACCAAGCTTATTATCAGAGTAATAGACTGAACTATTTATACCACGCGAGGAATGAATGAACGTGTGCGCTCCCTTAAGAGGTTCTTACGGGATATCAGCTTCCCTAATGACCCTTAATCGGCTTAGTCTCTTATCTCACG